ACTGCCCCATTAAGGGTGGATCTAAGTTTGTTTAGTCTGGTCTTGGGTAGATTCATGTATAGAGAATTACAGTAATCTAACTTAGATATAACCAATTGTTTCACCAACATCAATTTAATGCCTTCGTCCAGGTAACGACCAATAGTTCTTAGGTTCATGATTGTCCAGCTACATTTCCTTTTGACATTATTGATCTGTCTTTCCATATTTAAAGTTTCATCAAATTTGTCACCCAGACTCTTCCAGCTGTCTCCTTTGCACTCCGTAGGTAGAATTTCAGTGCTTCCAAATTGCAGTCTGACACTGAGTTCACACTTTTTTAGAATATGGCTCTTTCCTAACACCAATAGTTTTGTTTGTTCTGTCTTGGACATCAGTGAACTGTACCACACGGTTTGGTTGAAATGAGATGTACAGTTGAGAATCATCTGCATAGAGCTGTATATCAAGACCATATTTGGCCGCAATTTTCTGGAGAGCTTTGATATAGAGGATGAAAAGAATAGGCCCCAAGAGTGATCCCTGGGGAACTCCAAACAAAAGCTCCAAGAAAGAAGAAAGGGTATCATCAATCTTGACACAGAAATGTCTTTTCTCAAGGTAGGACTTTATCCATTGCAGCGCACTTCCAGTAATTCCATAGTCTTTCATAAGCTTTTCCAATAAGACTGTGTGGTCAATGGTATCAAATGCTGCACTTAAGTCAAGAAGTACAACTATGACAACATTCCCAGCTTCAATTTCTTTGTTAAGATCATCACACATTCTTACAAGTAATGTTTCACAGCTGTGATAAGGGCGGTATCCAGATTGGACTTCTGAGTAAAGGCTATGATTCGTAAGATGGACATTGAGCTGGTTTAGTACAATTCTCTCTAGGATTTTAGAGAAGGCAGAGAGGTTAGAGACCGGTCGATAGTTACTGAGAATATCAACATCAGCATTTTCCTTTTTCAAAGTCGGCTTAATGACAGCTTTCTTCATATCCGAGGGAAAGACTCCAGTCTATAAATAAAGGTCATACTCCTCCAGGAGTTGGTAGAGTTTCTTTGGGTAGTGTTCTTCAGGTTTTTCCATGTGAAAGTTGAAATCTCCAGCGATGATAGGAAAACCAGGTTTGACTGTGAGGTCTTTAAGGTAGTCTTCGAATTCTTCTAGAAAGGCACACTCCGTGTACCGAGCCTTCTTGGTATAAGGAGGCCGATAAAAGTTCACAAGTCTCACAATATCTTGTTGAGATTGTAGCAGTGATTCCATCACTTGGAAGGATTTGTACTTCATGACTTTACTATTACATTTTAATTGGAGCACATCACGAAATAGCATAGCTATACCTCCTCCTCCTCTATGTTTTCGTGGATCCGAAAGTATATTCCAACCGAGTTCTTTGATCTCCATTATCTTAGCTGTGTTTCCATCACGAAAAAAAGTTTCTTTCTGCTGTCCTATTCATGATTCCAATCCGTTCTCTTACATACGAGGGACATAGGTTGTCAGAGGCTTTATGGGTCTTTGCTGAGTTCTTCTCAGAGTGTTTACTACTTTTGGCGCAGTTAGAGCACTTTATCTTTGTGACAATATTTTCACTCTTGCTTCTACAGTCTTTTGACTTGTGGTTTCCTGCACAGAAGAAACATGTTGGGTCTTTATCTTTGGCTTTACAGTACATGGAGTTGGCCATGTGACCAAATTCCTGGCAATGATAACATTGGATGACATGAATTCGGTCTGTAACATGGTGTTCCCTAAGGTCAATATGAACATAGTCTCTGTTTTGTCTGATTGACTCACGTACTGCTGCATTGACACGGATGACAGCCGTTTTCTCTTTATCATCGAAGAAAACCACTTTAACCGCATCGTCTTTTTCAGATGAGGACTTCAGTATTTCATTCTTTTCCAAAAGTTTCTCTAGCAGTGCCTCCTTGTTTGTGATATCAGAATTCCGAATAGACAGTTTAGGGTCCAATTTCTTTCCTGGTTCGGACTTTGGCGATACCTTGTATTTCTCTTGACTTTTAAATACTGTTTCAGCTTTCTTAAGTTGATCCTTGGTAACAAACTTGAAGGTTGCAGTATTTCCGGACACTGTATAGTTCTTCACTGGGTTGACTTTAAGGGAACCTTTCATTTCCTTTTCCTCATCTTTAGTAATGGGTTCTTCCGTTTGAGTCTTCTCCACTGTGAGTGTGTGTTTTTCTGCAAGCTTAGTTTCTTCTTGTGTTTTCTTTTCTTTGGTCAGTGTTGCTACCACTGTATTCAATAAATCTGGTAGAATTGTAGGGAGTACTTCTGCTAGTACCTCTTTGAGCTGTGTTTTTATAATTTCCTTGAAATCTGGTGATTCCTGTTTAGTAGTAGTTGTGGCTTGTTTTGTTCCTAAAACTGTTTGTGTTAGTTGAAGAGCATTCTTGGAGAAAGTGTTTGCCGTGCAGTTTATCTTTTTCAGTTGTTCCTTCATCTTTTCCAAGTCCAACTCCATCTTTTCCATGTTATAAACCCTGCTAAAAAGATCAAGGACCGAAGGGACAAATGACAAATTGTCAGTTCTTAAAAAAACTAAACAACTGTTTTGTAATAATTCGATACCTCAAATTATTTGTTATATAGTAGTGTTTCAAACAAAAAGTTGTATGTGCAGTCAAACAAAAATGAATTCAGCAGTGTTGGTTCTGAAGGTGCGAAGGAGCACAAGGCAATACTCATAAGTATATGAAATATGAGAATAACGCTATGTTGCTTCTCAAAGTTCCAAACAAAAGATTAATTCAGGAGTTGTAGGTATCCCAGCAAGAGTACTGTACATACAGACAATTCATAAAATAGCATAGCATATTTGTGTGTCTGTTCGTAAAATTCAATAGTATCCTTAGCAAACTATTACAAATAACTGAAAGGATGCCTGGTTGAAGTAAACTTAAAAAGGTGATACAATGTTGGGCCATGCAAATCACGGCAATAATTGACGGCAAGTGTAAACTGTAATTATAGTAAAGTCAATTAAATAAACCAACCAATTTATTCTTCTATAGCAGAGGAGCACTACAGATATGGTAGTTACTGGATAATTTCACTGGTATTCGGCCAAGTTTATACGTTTATCCAGAATATATACCTGAACCGGGGCATGTGTAATGCTCTGTAAAGGCATTACTTTTCATGAAACTGATTAGAGAAGGATCCCTTGATTATTCACTGAAGTCCCGCAGTGCAATAGTCACACACAACTATTTAACAGAGAATAGAGTCAGAGAGTAGAGATCCCAACAACCCCGCTATCGATACAACATAGTCGACCGCCTTTTTAGTGAGCTTTATAGCAACCAAACAAGCCCAAATATCGACAGAACTAGAATTCTTAATGATACGTCCTTAATATCTCTCAAATATCGACACATTTGGTGCTGACCAACTACAGCTCCTCAAAACTAATTATCTATTCGACGAATTCTTCTTCTATTTCTACTTCTGTTAATTATTGCATCAACGAACCGTCGAAGAAGTTATTGATTTAAACGTCCTTAAATGGTCTATATCGACTATCCATACAGAATACTGACACTGACTCTTGTGACATGACTAACACTTGAGTGCTGTTAAAATTCTAGAGAACAATATTTCAATTGTGGTACTGTTACACAAAATATACCGGAAGCAATATTTAGTCGAATTCATTCGACAAGTCCAATCTACTGTCACCTTATTAATCAAAAGTTAAGGTAACCAGCTTTTAATTATGCTAGCAGATTTATTCAGAGAAAAAAATGGTGTGCGATTGTTGTGTAATTTATATTGGGCAGTATTCCACCCTGTTGGACTTCATATCGTAGATAATTTCAGGCAATGTTTTAGGCCACGATAAAGATACAAAGGTTTATAAAAAGAGCAGCAAAGGCTAGAACATAGGTACAAAGGGTAATATTTATTCGAGCATTGTGTTGTTAACACTCTGTTGAAAAATGACAAACATTTATAAGCGAAAAAAGTGAATAAGGTTTTCAGTTCACTGTAAATTGTCATTCAAAGTTGCACATATTACCATATATGTACATACTAAAATCTAAATTGCAAAGTTGCACACTTTACCATAACTAGCAGGAACCCGTCTAACCCTAAAATGGTGTCAAGACTCAAGAGACTAAAACAATTATTACCTATTTAATTCGCGTTTTTGACACCACTTGGGGTACCAAATTTTGGGCTCTAAAACTCCTATTTCTTGGCCAATTTTTTATTTTTTCATGCTGATTTGGAGGCCATTAAAGCATTTGACCCAGTCAAAAAAGATTCAGTCGTATATCTTTGACGGTTTTTGCAGAAATTCGCGTTAAAGTTGATGCCGTGGTGTCAGTAAAATGGCACAGATAAATATATATGTATCGTCTCGCTTTATATATAGTAAGATGTCTGTAGCTGGGTGAGAAAACTCCACCAGGTCCTGGTAATTGAGTTGGATCACGTCTAGACTTGATACTCTGCAAGTAAAAGGTGTGATTTCACGTGGAACGGCTTCAAGAACCATCTATTACTTCTGCAACCTAGTCCGTTTATATATATATTAGAGCAATAACTGAGTTGATAACCGTGGATATGGATATGGTAGAAGAATGTACCCTCTGGTAGGGACTCTAGCACTGGCCACTATCATGGTAGGGCACCCACAGGCCACAACGATAAACACGGATACAACTTCCGGGGTATCAAAGCAGGGCTGCTGTGGCGAATACAGTGTTTACTTATAAAAATATAATATTAAATAAAGGAGTTTAATATCATCTAGGCACATCTTTACGAGTTTTATATGACCAACCGAGTGTAGTGCAGGCCCGCTTACCTTGACCACTTGCACAACTAAATACACATATAGTAGATTATTCATCAAAGATTGCAGTTGGTTAAAGTTAAATGTTGAATGTTACAATCTCTACAATATTTACAATTTCTAGAATACCTACAATATTTACATAATATTACTTTCTTTATCCCTGCCATCACTTCAGGCAAGCCTACGACTGGGCCATTTGTCAGCTGAGGAAAAAAGAACACGAATCGACGAAATGATCGCAGAGGTAAGTTGAATCTTTGAGAAATAAACTATGATAACTCAATACAAATACTTGGTGTTAAACTACATAAACTGTATTATTATTAAAGAGGAACTAAACCAAAACATGATGCATAAATATATGAATTATAAATAAATAATGTGAAAATAAAAATGTCGTTTTCCAACAACCAACTGACATAGTGAATTGAGTGCGTGACTAAATTAGTTTGGTGCAACCTTTCAGTTTTCACCGACGTCGAATAAAATTATTTAGCGGCCATGTTGGAATGTTTGGTATCTAAAAAACTAAATCCACATTCCAGTACGTAGTTTTCCAGGTTTCAAGTAAATATTATGTAAAAATTATGTAAAAATTATGTATATATTATGTAAATATTATGTAAATATGAGTTTAGGTTATATATATATTAAACGGCTGGGGTTTCTGCAATCTGCATGACCGGTTATATACCGCTAATTGTCGAAACTTGGAAGTATTGAAACATTTCATATTTTCAACAATAGTGTTAGATACAAATTATAGTTAGCTATTTGAGGTGATGATGGCCTCCGGTTGTTGGAATTTATCATAAACTGTTCGAATTTCCGGTAAACGATCATCACGTTGTATCCATGGTAAGATGGTAAGTATTTTAAATACTAGTTATTTTTATGTTTTAGCTTTTTAACTTTAAAATTCTGGAACAAAGATCTGAGATACTAGACTCAACCAACTGACAAAAATGAAAAACTCAATTAGATTGTAAGACGAAGAATGATCGACACATATTACACTACCCGTAAAAATAGATGCTAAATTGAAAAGTGTACCTATGTGAGCACTACTTTCCATGATAAAATGTATTAATTAAGCAATTCGTAACAACACGAATTTACATTTATTATGTGAATGCTTAATTGAATATTATGCATTAGTATGATCGAGTGATAATTTATACAATGTTTAGCGAATTATATGTAGTAGGAAATACTCCGGACGCCGATGCCGAATAATTGCTTAATAGTAAATATTAAATATCGCGTGCCTGTCGCGTGCCTATTGCCTAATTATTTTCTAAAATATTCTGCACGCGACAAGCAATTATTTTGCACGTGACAAGTTTTGCGCGTGACAAACTATGATTCCGCACGTGACATGTTTTGCACTTGACAAACTATGATTCTGCACGTGACATGCAGTCATTGTACAGGGCGAACTAACGAAGGTAGCAGACTCTCTTGTGGGGGTACCCGGGAGTGAGACGCAGTGCTTGTCTGGAGGCGAGAGAAAACGTCTGTCCCTCTGTATGGAGGTAAGATAATATGGGGGTTTTCTCTATAAGTGGGGTAAAAGTTGGGGCTTATTCCTTAATTAAGCTGAGTGCCCGATTGAAATAATTCTTTCTGATATGACTTGCTATTATCACTCATTCGAGGAATATACCAAATCAAATAATAACGATGTTTATTTATTCCGAATGAACGTTCATATAAGATAAAGTAGCTAAGTGCCAGATCGGCTGACTGCATGGAGGGTGCGAAACTTCAATAAACCAATAAAATTATTGTACTGTAGTGCGACACGTACTCTAGAGCGACACGTACTCTAGTGCGAAGTCCGACAAAAACACCCTCTGTCGCACTACAGTACGTGTCGCACTACGATCCAGGTAGCGTACTCTAATGCGACAAAATATCCTGACTTATTTCCAGGTTCAGGTCACATCTTATCCTTCTTATGGACCATTAAGTCATTCGTCGGGTCGGTTCACGTCACTTATTTCGAAGTGATCTTGCGAATACGATTCGTCGGTTCACATCACGTGTTTCGAAGTTATCCACTGATCATAATTCCTTCGGGTCAGTACAAGCCACGTATGCAGTGTGTGATCCACTGGGTAACTCTTAAGCAGCATATGATCCTCATTCCTATCACACGCATCGTATGGAGGTATATCTCCGATTGGGATAACAAGTTCATATGTTTGGGCCATAAATAAGGTCACCATGATTCTACCAAAGCATCGAACAACATCAACATGTCTTCTTCAATCACCTTCATTCCTGGACGCACTACTGGTTCAAGAAACGTTAAGAATCGCGACGACAAGACCTACTGGCGATGCACTGAGAAGACCTGCTCCGGACGTCTCATGGTCTGACGAACAGCACTACTGTGACCTGGACGCAGCTGAAAGCAACCCTTCCCTCGGAGATGGATTCCTTTGCTGCCTGTGACTACTACGAACGTACCTGGGTCGGAACACAAACCTCCTCTCCCCCTTGATGGGCTGCACCAACCCTACTATCTGGCGATTTATCGACGTCCTGAAGAAGGAGCAGGATCTTACCCAATGGAAGATCAACCAGAAGAATGAAGATGCTCAGAGTCAGACAACTACCTCCTCGCCGACTGAAGGAGTGGACTGATTACGACCGTCGCTTGAACGCTGTGATTGATAGCTACGATGATTATGACAGAGTGGATTAGTTGAAGTGTGTTGGAACAATGATTTTGAATTGAATATAGTGATTGCAATCTTTGATTTTATATTTAACCCCATTACTCATACACGACTACACTCTTGTCATTAAAAATGGTAAGTAAAATTTGTATTGAATGTGTTAAGTGTTTTGTCGCACTTTAGTACGTGTCGCACTACAGTCCAGGTAGCGCACTGTAGTGCGACAGTGTCGGCCTTGAAAATTCTCTGTCGCACTAGGGTACGTGTCGCACTACGATCCAGGTAGCGTACTCTACTGCGACAGTGTCGATCTTGGAGGTTTCGCACTAGGGTACGTGTCGCACTACAGTACGTGTCGCACTACAGTACGTGAACCAATTGTAGCGGCCGTGTACAGATAACGGCAAAGTTAGAGCACACATTTATTATAAGCACATCTACATATCTGTATAAGTTTGCTGCGATACTCTTTTTATAGGCGAGACTTAAAACGTTTGTAATATCGGAATTGATTTGCGGGATCTAGAATTATATTGAGCTGAAAACCTCTTAAATTTTTAAATGATGATCATGAGTTGTAAGCCCCCTCCATAGATATGATTGCGTAAATATCGAACTGGTTACTAATTATTCTACTGAAGTAAAATATCATTTTAAAATGGTAAAATAGGCGCAACTTCTTAAAATGATAAAAATCATTTGTCATGGTTTTCATTGATATTGATTATACTGATTTGGTCATTTTCGCTGAAAATTTACTTTTATCCTACAAAAGTACAAATTAGTAAATAGCCACAGAAGCGTGATTCTTAACACGGGATAGTTGGAACACCGTTTTAATCATATAGAATAATGCGATCTGACCTGATATTTCAGGTACTGTTAGGAAAGCCCATGATATTTGCAGACGAGCCCACCTCCGGACTTGACGCCAGCATGGCTGAGAAGATCGTAGTGTTTCTAAAGAGGCTGGCAAACGCCCAGAGGAACATTGTAGTCACCATCCACCAACCCTCTTCGGACGTATTTTCACTGTTTGACAAGTAAGTCGCCAGGCTACTTACTTAAACGTCACGTGAAATTAATTATGTTTGTATACAAATAGGGTTTATAATGTAAATAGTCCTGTAAAATATGCTTGTTCAGTTAGCTATTAAAACGTTATTTTTTAATTTTAGAATCAACAGTATTATACCCCTCCCCCCTTTCTAAATTCTTTACTGAGGAGCCGTCAAAATCGATGCAAACGCAATATTATAAATTGAGAACTCCAAGAGCTATTTTCTTACGCGATACGTAACGTCTACCTAGGATCTTGCGGTCTTTATAGTCGCACATCTTAAAATTAGGAAATGCGTTGAGTATTTAGTATGGTGATCTAGCTACAGGCATGCTTGGTTTGATACAGTCAATTTTGTTGCCGGCGACTTCCAAGAAATTCGATTTTAAATGTCTGTATAATAAATAAACCGACTGTCAGATTTGACTGAATGAATGTTGCTGGAAAGTTGATCTAATGCATTGGTTGTCCAATCACGACGCTTTAAGATTACAAAAGTCAAAAACATGAACTTTTATGGAAGTTTAAAAGGACTTCGATTAATGATTATCGACACTTTAATCGAAGGGCGTTTATAACTTACTGTATAAATATAATCGAAACAGCAAGTTCATTATTAAATGCAGGAGAGGGCATTATTTAGATGACTTCACTCCAACGTGAGGTGAGGAAGTTCTGCTGAGGGAGCACGTGAAAATTCGATCCAAGTCAAAAGATGATACATTGATATGTACGCTTTCACGGACATGATAGCATTTAACAAAAATAATATCGCCCTGTACCTACTATTATTTTGTATATAGCACTCGATCCTATCATAAAAGTATCAAAGCCTTCATTATATAAAACTTTCGAACTTTTTGGATCCTTTTAAATTTAAACGATCAAGGCTTAAACATCGTCGTGATTCAAAACTTTCAAATTTAAATAAGATATCAAACGAAAGTGATCTCGATTAGAATTTCAACAAGCAATCTGTACCCTACTACTATACTTGTAAAAGGCTTTATATATATAAGAAGTTTTGAACTTCATCATTTACTTACTTTCCTCACGTACCATTAATAAGAGCTTCTTCTTCATTAGTTATATTAGGGAGACTGCAATTTTCATTAAAAGTTTTCAACTCACGCACAAAAGTCCACAAGTCTGTTCTAGAAGAAATAATGAAATAGTTTCTTACAAAAGCATTTTCATATAAAGCTGCCCTCCTCGGCGATCATATTAGTCAGAATGTCCCAATCTCAACAACTTGAGCACTTAATGAAACGTTAACTAACATAATATCCTCCAGCATAATGCTACTCCACAACGGTCAAGTAGCGTACTACGGTCCTCGAACGAACGCCTCCTCCTTCTTCACTAGCCAAGGTTACACCTGTCCTCCCGACTACAACCCGGCTGATTTCTACATCAAGACACTGGCTGCCCAAGCTGACATCTCCGAACCTAACGGCAATGGCACTGTGAGTTCCCACATATCAACCTTTATAACCGAGAATTTATATATGAGTTTTGGGTGGTTTGATGGTCGGGTTTTACTGTTTAACTATGTTTGTTGAACTGCGTTTATCTTGATTGCGTAAAGTTAAACTGCAGTGACAGGTGGCTGCAAATTTAGAAGGAACCATCAAACACATGTCTTGGTAAAGTTCTACTGCCTTCTAGACTGACCTAGTTAAGATTCTTCTAGACTCTACAACCTTCTAGACTCGTCTAACCGTATTTTTCGAATGTTCTACAACGTTCTAGAAGATTCTTTAACCCAGGAGCGGGCAGGTGAACATGAGCAGGCAGCTGGAGCTAACCTTGCAACTGTACAACCATCTAGACAAACTGTAAGTTACGATTAGTTTTAAACCTAATCATTTTAAAGCTAACGTTATATTACTAATATCCTCCTCGTTATTTTTCTATTATCCATGTGTTATCAAAAATTATTTTGTAATATTATATCTTGAATATCATTATAATGATTTCATATTTATAATTATTGTACCACAATTAAAAAGACAACCATGAATTCATCAGAAAATCTATTAAGGCCAAAGCTGTTAATTAGATTATTTTATATATATATTGGACTGTGATACCAAAAATGTTGTGTACATAGTTAATGATAATATTTGTAAGTTAAGTTATATAGGATGTACTTCAGACTCTTTAAAGGTTAGATTTAGGAACCATAAATCCCACATTAAAACTCAAAGAAGGACCTGTGAACTTTCCTGCCATTTTATAGATAATGAGATTTTGCACAATCTTGACCGTACAACCACTAAGTTGTTTACCAGTACTTTAAGTAAGGACATTAATGTTTCTATTATAGAGCAAGTTGACGTTGGGAATTTTGAGCAATGTGCCCAGGATAGACTAAGTATTTGTAAACAAAGGGAGAACTTTTGGCAAAACCAGCTTAAAACTTTAAAGCACTTTGGAGGGATGAACGTTAAAGAAGAAAGATGATTTTCTTCTTGCATATTTTATTTTCTCACCTCTACCACTCATTTGGGATTTCAACCCACCATAACTTGAATTGCTGAGTTACATAAATTTCTAAATTTTAAATTTCTTCTATTTGATTGATTGATGGATTGATATTTTGAATAAATTTACTAACATGTCTTTATATCAGGATGACTGTAAAGGTACATTTTACCGACATTTGAAGTCAAGGCGTTGTTTTACTGATAGTTGTGGCTAACTAATAATATATATATATATATATTGTCACCGAACTGAACAGTGAATAGAGGATATTATATCGTATCTGAAGACTTTAAATAACATCTCGATACTGCAAAATAACGACAATCCAAAGCGGAGATCCTTTTTTCCATATAAACTTAGTAGCGTTTTTGTTTGAAGAAACAAAACTGCGGTCACATACAAACTTTATCTTGCCCTGCATCATATCTGAAATATATAAAAGTTTTGACATGTCGGCGTTAGAGCTCACTGCTTGCGGTATAGAATATTAATTGAAAGCAGCACTTAAGTTCAACCAGTTTGAGCATCTGAATTCGATGTAATAGGAATTATTGCTAGTAATATAAAGCTGGAGACACGATGGAAATAAGACCGAATAAGCTACCGGACAACTGGATCCAATTAGTTTAGCAGACCTGACTGAAAATCTGGTCTACAAAAATGTGGGTGAAGTTGTCGTATTTGGGTGCAGTTTTAATATGACCTGGATGAAGTAAATTCGGGAAGAAGCTAGAACACAATTCTGAACGTTGGAAGCGAATTGAATTCTTGGAAAGTAGTTGAAACTTCTCGATCTTGCGTATCGGTTATGTTATGACCAAATTGCTACTTGGGGTATTCGTGTAGCTATTCGCATAACTGGTTTTGCTGTTGGTGCTGCCATAAGTGAGTTTATCGTCAGTAAAACTAGTGATGCAGTAGCATCAATTGGGCGTGCGAGACTAAATGATTAATCAGTCTAACATGAAGAGTTTAGTTCAAATGGTTCGAAGTAACAGTCGCATGAGTTTTTGTAAATTTAACGGCGTAACTGCAGTGAAGGTAGCCTCATCTTCTTGTGTGGCCCTGACTGCAAATCATCATCAAGCTCAAGTTTTGATACGTGTTAACTTACCTAACAATCTGAACAGTGAACCATGTGCCTGAAGTTGAACTCCATAAGCTGGTTTTTCTGTCTGGGTAATCAACTTATTTGACCACCCACAACGTTACTAAGCTGCTATCAAAGCTTACTTACAGTTTGAATTTCACGGCATTGATTTTCTCCTCATTGTCCCATAATTGATCAAAAATGGTGAACAACTTTAGAAATTTTGCTCGCCATTTTTGTTTAAAAGTTCCCCAAAGTCGATGACAAAAAAGCGAACATTACAATTTGTTGAGAAATTGGTAGTGGAGCACAAGGCTAAAATTTGGAAGTGAAATGATCCGGAAAAGTGATTTAAAACCACTTTTTAATCTTGCGTTGGTTATGACGTTTTGGCCATAACTGTTAGTGCTAATATAACTGGCGTTCTTATGACGTTGATAGTGCTACGTTTCTAATAAGCTTTAATCGATTAAGCAAAAATGGTCATCCAGTTGTGATAAATGCTTTGTTGGCTGAGCAAGAACAGTTATATATTAGAATAAATACATAATGGTTCGAAGTAACAGTTATGTCCTATACGCATTGACATGTTACTTATAAGTTATAACACAATACATGTTATTCAATTGTCAGCCTCCATATTGTGGTCTAGATATATGGACCTGTACCCAAAACATCTACAAAGCCGCGTTTCTAATGCATCCTAGAGATGAAACAAAATCCCACGCAAGTTACTGTTTAACCATTGCTGTTGAACAGCGTTTAATAACTTGATTGCATAAACTCAAACTAGCGTACGTGGCTCTATCTAGAAGGTTTTACGATGTAAACCATCAAACACGTGGCAATGTTCTACAACGTTCTAGAGTGATCTAGTTCAGATTGTTGTGTGTTCTACAACGTTCTAGAGTGATCTAGTTCAGATTCTTGTGTGTTCTACAACGTTCTAGAGTGATCTAGTTCAGATTGTTGTGTGTTCTACAACCTTCTAGAGAGATCTAGTTCAGATTGTTGTGTGTTCTACAACGTTCTAGAGACTGATCTGGAAAGTGAAAATGAGGCCGAGAAGCAGCTGGGGTTTACCTTGCAACTGTACAAACTGTCTGCAGTTATATATCAGTCTCGAGGAGTTAATATCTTCTCATCATCACCTCGTTATCAATGTGCTATTAAACATTATTTATTAAACATTATGGCTTAAATGTTATAGTCATTTTGATTTCATGAATGAACCTGCAATTAATTAAGGTAAAATTTGTCACTATCTACACCTACACGTGTACATACCTCATCATTACGGTATTAAACACTTTATATAGTATACTTTTAACCCGAAAGTATACAGCTTGTTTTAATGGAGCAACTAAAGGGTGGGTACATAATCTTCGTGGGTGGTCTATAATTACGACAAGCAACTAGGAAAGTGAAAGACACAATCTCGTATGCTGATCAAACAAATCTAAAGCTGCTACTTTCATAGCTGTGTTAGTCTACCATAAATGTAGTCAAAATGTTGACTAAAATTGTTGTAAACCAAATTTATTGAGACTAAATAGTAAATTGTTCGGCGACTAATTTTAAATTTAAAAGCAAAACAAAATTTCAGTAGAGCATGATATATGATTTCTCTTGGAGAATTTCTCTTTAGACTCTTAACTTGCGAAGAAATTGAAGCAGCAGACTTTAGGCTAGAAACTTTATTGAATTGAAATAATCATTCCACGTAACTACGTCTTCTTCAGTTCTCAAATTATTTGTTATATAGTAGTGTTGAAAGTATTAAAAGTTCGCAAGTTAAGAGTCTAAAGAGAAATTCTCCAAGAGAAATCAAGTTCAAATGCGACTCATAAATATAGCCCCCTTGAACTATAGCATGATATATGACATGAGTATTATTGAGCTTACATTGTTTATAATTAATATAATGACATCACTGTTCCTACTGCTGAACTACTTTGACTATTGCACGTGTAATCCACTGCTTTTATGCTTTCACATTCTCTTACTTCCTTCTCCCATCATACTTTAAAGTATGACTTTAAAGTACGACTGAATGTGCGAAATCAGGAAAAAAACTAGCTAAATAATGGAAAAATCAAATAAATGGAATGGAAAATGGTCTCGATAAGTCGAAAAATGTGACTAAAATTGTTGTAGACTAAATATTTGCGAAATTTATGACTAAAATTATGGTAACCAACATTTTTGTAACTAAATTCATTGTGAACCTAATTTATTGACCTTAAGGTACCGCATCCTGTCCAAAAGTATAAGTGGCGGCGTGCCAAAAGGTGCATTGCGCAATTGTGCTGGTACTACTTGGAGGAGGTTTCCTTGATCTTCCTTGCTGTGCCAATTTAGGGGTCAAAAGATAAAGTCCTGCAAATTTTGGAAATATACTTGCAGTATAAATAGGTCTCAAAAAGGATGCAAAGAGTAAGAATGGCCCCTTTCCGCCCCCCCCCCCCCCCCCCCCCCATCTTCCTACACCCCTGAGCACTAAATCTTTGACTTTTAATTAACTAATCATCACTGTTACAGCCCCAAGGCGACCAGATAGTTTTTAAAAATATTAGTACTTTTGGACGACGCTAATAACATTAGTGTCATCTAAAAGTACTCATATTTTTTAGTAATGGTACATGAACTTCATAGCACATAATATAAACTATATGAGAGGTCTCCCAGCAGGACTTAGTTAAAGGCTACGAGAGCAGCCCGGAGAAGGGGGACTGCAGTAGGACGATCAAGGAACTGTCCGCTAAAAAGCAACACCGCTTACGGCTGAACACTAGCGGGTACGATTTAACAGTTATTGCCTAATGCTCTAATTCTTACACCTTTAGCACTACCAACTTTATACCCTATAGCGTTTTATTTTATTCGGTAAAATCTTTATTTTATGATATATATGATATATATATACACATTTTATGATAATTACAAAACCGTTTGTCGTTGGTCAGCTTGAGTGCAGGTCACAGGTGTTGCTCCTGGGAACACATTGAGCTGCTGGGTTGTGCCATAAATCAAATAAGTTTAAGTTTAACATAGTACCAGCTATCAATAATCAATACACAAAATCTAAAAGTCGTGTCTAAAGTAGTTGGCTAAGAGTACGTACTGAGTCACAATACCACTGGCATACATACCTTGTTGTGGAGACAAGGTGCTTGCAGCTCCGGAAACGGTATTTCCAAACCTTAGCTAATCTATAACTATAGACAAATAATTTGACAGTTGATATGATGACGATATCAGGCGTGAAACTTTACGAGTAGATCTGACAGCTTCTCAGTGCTTTCGCTAAAATGTAAGAGATTGCGGTGAGATTTGCTGTTCAAAAGTAACAAAATTTGCTTTGACATGGTACATAAGTCATAACCGATGGATCATTATGTGGGAGATTATTTGAATTTTGCAGATATTCTGTAAGACGGTGCTTGGAATTTCAAATTGAAATGCTTATTTTTGAGGATATAGCAATTTATTGCCGTAAAAATGTTAAGTACGGAAATATGAAACCGGGTGTAACCTATGACATCACGGTTTTAGTCGTCACAGAGCTCTCTTTCAACAGAAGCGAGTTAAGAGCAAATGCTGCATAGCTATGAAATTCGCAAAGTCTGAATAGTGCAGTAAAATCTTAAGAATCGACAATGACATAGAAAATAGCATTTCGAGACTTTTTGCCAACTTTTAATTAACCAGCAAATTTAATAATAGAACTATTATATATGGCTTTGGCGCATTATCCACAACCACTAAATTCAAAATTGCTCTCCACCATGTAAGTTGGCAACCAACAACTTCAGTCAGAGCGACAAGCTGTATTCTGATTAATGGAACAATTTAAAAGCTAATCACAAGGATTTGTATAACCCTCTAGGTCCTATATATACCATGTATATATATCCGTACCATTTTACTGACACCACAGCATCAACTGCAACGTTCCGCAAAAACCGTTAAAGATATAAAACTGGAACTCTAATTTTGACTGGGTCAAATGCCGGTTGTCAAAAATACGAATTAAATAGGTAATAATTATTTTAGTCTCTTGAGTCTTGACACCACTTTAGGGTCAGACGGGTTCCTGCTAGTGAAACTAAAGGGTAACCCTTGAATATTTGTTGGACAGACCCTTACCAGAAATTGCGCGAAATCTCACTAAATTTCAAGATTGAACTTAGAACTCAGTTTACCATCACAGTTTACCCATTTAGTAGTAATATTAGGTAATCGTGGTGCCGGCGTAGCTGTTTTTGTATGTAACTACAGCCTGTAGGCTGTATATTACAGTATATTATTGGTATATTTCATGTTTGTGTATCTATCACATCTCTTAAAATTTAAAAGTGAGTACGAGACCCCCTCCAGTCAGTTTCAAGCATAAGTGCAGATTTCGTTTTGAGGTGAACTTTTAAGTTCCCGAGAAATTTTCTTAAGTTTGCTTTTTTCCCCTCCTCGGGCACATTCGTAACCTACAGGCCAGGTAAACCTAAACTACATATTGACCGTTATGTACGTCGGTATCTGTTGAGGAGCCAAATCATCTGAAAAGCCCTTAACCTATATTTTGCTCAGGCACGTAGCCAGGATTTTTCTTTGGGGGGGGGGGGGGGGGGCTATCGGCGAGCGAAGCTGCAAGCTGTGGCAGGGGTCTGGGGGCGCGGCCCCCAGCGGGGTCCAGGTAAGGGGCGGACCACATTGGCGGGGGCTAGGGGGGCGCAGCCCCCCGGAAAATTTTTGCGAAATAGGGTGTTTTAGGCTAAACTGAAAGTTTAATGAATTTACAAAAATGTATGGTTTGGCATAATCATTGCCTACAATCCTGACCTGAGTAATTTACCCCTTTGAGACTTTATTTTGGGTTGAAAATTAAGTTTATCGAGAGGAAGTGAAAAATCTCTGGTTCAAATTTGGATTTGAAGCCATGTTTAATTTTTTCTGTTGAGGTCAATTTTTTGCGCAGAAAGCGTTCGATTTTAGGGGAAAAATTTATGTTTGCTTTTAATTTTTATGGTGCCGACGGCACCTGAAATCGACGAAATCTGCAGGGGTGGTTTCAAGTTTTCGCCCTGATCACATAATGAGCTGTTAGAATTATCATTAACTTATGCAACTACTATATAGCTTAACTACTACATAGCTTATTGACAACGTTGCGCTAAAATTGTAAAACTCCTTTTAAGTTAAATTAAAGATGTGTTTATATAATACAAGAAAACAACTACAGCTATAAAATATCTGAAGAAAGTAATACATTATAAACGGACTGTAACTTTAGCAACTATAGTAACTAATAAACTATTAACACTAAAGTAAACATTTACCAAATAACATGCACGTCCACGTATTAACATGCACGTGCAACAATTAACATGCGCGTGCACTTAAATGAAAGATTTATCTATCATTTATAATCTATCATTTATATTTTGGTTTTGAAATAAAACCAAAATATCAACATAATGTAAAGTGTGATATTATTAGCTTGTAATAACATGAATATAGATGAAATAATATTCCCTCATTAGTGACTAGTGATTGTAATTACTTAAATTTATAAAACCTGACATGGTATTATTTTGGACTTTGTCACATATCCCCCAAATATACATTGTAATAGTGAACCTACTAGGATTTATTAGACCCTTTAAGTCAGCATTGTGCTGATTGATATTTGACTTGAACCAGAATCTTCATCCAATGCTAGCATAAGGTATATTACATACATTTATAATTTCTATAGCAATTTACACTAGTTCTTTACGCCCCATGGTCAATTAGTTGTCTGGAAATATAAGAGGGGAAGGAAACGTTGTAGAGTTTGTAGGTGGGACAGTGGGAGCAGGTGTGAAAACAGATTCACCAGGTGAGAAGGTGAGAGGATCTGCAGGGTGAGACTTGTGAGATTCTGGTTGGTAACTGGAGAAGGAAATGGGAGGTAATCTGGAACTAGAAAGAAAGGGGTCATCGAAGTTCAGAGGCTTTACAAATGTGAGAGGCTTCACGAAAGGTAGAGGCTTAACAAAAATGGGTCCTCCAACACTATCTTTTTGAAAGAAAGTCGAAGCCTGACCGCTTTCATTAAAAAAATCTGAGTTATTCCGATGATACGGTTTTTCGCCAGTATGAGTCATCTGATGGCTAACAAGGTCTGATTTTCGGCTTGAAGTGTAGGAACATTCAGAGCATTTATATGGTTTTTCACCGGTATGAGTCATATAATGGCTAACTAGGTTTGATTTTTGGCTTGAACTGTAGGAACATTCGGAGCATTTATATGGTTTTTCACCGGTATGAGTCATATGATGGCTAACTAGGTTTGATTTTTGGCTTGAACTGTAGGAACATTCAGAGCATTTATATGGTTTTTCACCGGTATGAGTCATCTGATGTCGAACTAAGTTTCGTTTTACGCTTGCACTGTAGGAACATTCGGAGCATTTATATGGTTTTTCACCGGTATGAGTCATATAATGGCTAACTAGGTTTGATTTTTGGCTTGCACTGTAGGAACATTCGGAGCATTTATACGGTTTTTCACCGGTATGAGTCATCTGATGGCTAACAAGGTCTGCTTTTCGGCTTGAAGTGTAGGAACATTCAGAGCATTTATATGGTTTTTCACCAGTATGAGTCATATAATGGCTAACTAGGTTTAATTTTCGGCTTGAACTGTAGGAACATTCGGAGCATTTATATGGTTTTTCACCGGTATGAGTCATATGATGGCTAACAAGGTCTGCTTTTCGGCTTGAAGTGTAGGAACATTCAGAGCATTTATATGGTTTTTCACCGGTATGAGTCATATAATGGCTAACTAGGTTTGATTTTTGGCTTGAACTGTAGGAACATTCGGAGCATTTATATGGTTTTTCACCGGTATGAGTCATATGATGGTTAACTAGGTTTAATTTTCGGCTTGAACTGTAGGAACATTCGGAGCATTTATATGGTTTTTCACCGGTATGAGTCATATGATGGCGAACTAAGTTTTGTTTTACGCTTGCACTGTAGGAACATTCAGAGCATTTATACGGTTTTTCACCGGTATGAGTCCGCTGATGTGAGACTAAAGCTGTTTTTATGCTTGCATTGTAGGAACATTCAGAGCGAACGTAAGCATTTTTATTGGGATGAACCCACTGGTAGCGAAGCAATGCTGATTCCTGGTTGGAACAATCCAACTGAGAAACTTCATTCGAATACACTTCTGATTTAATAAGAAAATTGTCTTCCTCCTTCTTAATCTCTGTCTTGATCAATTCTGGTGAAATAGTTTCTTCTTCTATCTTCATCTCATCTTTAAAGCCTGAAACATTTTGCTGCTCCATTTTACTAAAAAGTTAACGACCGTACAGAAGTTTCCGCTTAACAATCGTCACTAGAAAACAAATTAATAGTAATACAAGTTCGAGATCTAAATTTCAGTGTTACTTTATTTGAAGAGCTCTTCATCATATTTGGTCTCAACATTCCTCCTTATCTGCTTACTTGTATCAAGATATGCATCTGTAGTCTCGTAGTTTAAGTGTATTTAAACTGCGCTACACTTCAGTCTGTTACTATAATCTGTGATAAATTTAAATTTGTAAATGTTCAAGTAAAAGTAGGCCGTTCTAAATAAGAATTCCACTGTAGTTTGCTTGCATCAAGAATCAAGATACTTTGGCCTTACTAGCTTGCATCAAGATGTAACTTATAGTATGGTAGTTAAACTGTGCTACACTTCAGTATGTTACTATGATCTGTGATAAATTTAAATTAAATTAATTTATTTGGGTTTTTATATTTCCTGTATCTCTGTATTAATCATTTCAGACTATAATTAGGACTGTTCACGTGAAAGAAATTGTATCAAAATTTTAAAATGACGTATGTGACGAAATTTCTTGATCCTATTTTGAAGAACCATACCTCGGTTAGAATTCAATGTTCTTCCAGGAATTGTTGGTTGGTTATTGTTCAGCAAATTAGAACTCAAGTTTAACAATGTTGTGATTAATTTTATCAAGTTACTGAAATGTGACGAAATTTACTTTTCCTGCCCCAACAGTAGAGGATAATTGCAATGTGACGAAAAATTGGCTTGGGGTTTCTACATTTCTTGTATAAATCCATTCCAACTATAATAAGGACTGTTGATATGAAAGAATTATATCTATCTGAATTTCAAAATGACGTATGTGACGAAATTTACATTTCTTGCCCATATTTTGAAAAACTATACCTCGGTTAAAATTCAATTTTCTTCCAGGAATTTTTGGTTGGTTATTGTTCAGCAAATTAGAACTCAAGTTTAACAATGCTGAGTTTGATTTGACTAAGTTACTGAAATGTGACGAAATTTACTTTTCCTGCCCCAACAGTATAATTTCAATGTGATGAAAAATTGGCATGGGTTTCTATATTTCCTGTATAAATCTATTCCAACTATAATAATAAGGACTGTTGATATGAAAGAAAATATATCTAACTAATATAATGCAATGGCTGATGTGACGAAATTTACATTTCTTGCCCCTATTTTGAAGAATCATACCTACATTAGGATATAATGTTAAGTTTTTATCACCATACCTATTTCGATAAACTAGTTATTTTGCCAACAAAGAGCAAATAAAGTTATAATATTTTTTGTGACGAAATTTACAAATTTTTACCATGTTCAGGTGTTGAAATTTTGCCAATGTTAACATATCACTGCCATATAATAATTAATTTTTACTTAAATTCACACATGTTGAGTTATCATACTAATGTATGTGACAAAGTTTACCTATTTCTGCCTTCTGTATTTGTATTTGCTTATAACAATGAAATATGTGAACAATTCCAAACACATTAAGCTCACAAAATAATGCTAGACTATTCGACATTTCTTGTATAAATTTCTTAAATGTGTGACGGAGTTTACACTTTACATGGTGCTACCATTTAACGAAAAAAGTCGCTAAATATGTAAATAATAGTCATATGCAAATTGCAACTATCCTATGAATTGGAAATTCGAAAATTTGGTCAAACACGGCAACAAGGGGTCCATATAAACTCTGTCACGTTTTTATAGTGTGACAAAATTTACAACTCACTGCCGGCCGCATTTAAGCGATATCTTATCATCTGATAAAGATAACGTTATGCGACAAAGTTTATCTAAAGGATGAAACGATTATCCTAGGCATAGAGGGTTTATATAATTTCATAGTTTTTTTATACTTTCAACACTACTATATAACAAATAATTTGAGCATGAATAAGAAGTTGTTACTTTGAAACGTCGTTTATCCTAACAGTGCAATATCATTTGTCGCAAATCAGAATAATCAGTTCAACTATTTGGAAAAACCCAAAAACTGTCTATAATTTCATAGTGTTACACATTTTACATCTTCGTGCCATTCAGTAGGGTCACTAATATTTACCAATATCCATAAACTTCAATGAACGCGTGTCTATAAACGTTTAGTAGCCACCCAGCGTGGAGTGGCTCGGGCAACATATTATATTAAATTTATTATTGTAACGGTATATTAGAACCAGACAGAAACAAAGTGTGAAGGGCCTGAACGGAACTATATATAACGTTACGCCACTACCGGGACGGTAGTTATGTGTGTCCTATATCCAAACACCTTGACTAAACATCCAGTTATTTGATCCTGGACAGTGGACCGGCAAGTTTACTCTCTAAACCATAACTACATTCAAATGAAACATAATTAATCGTGTATGACTATGATATTGAAATGAAAATAAGAACAAGGTTAGGTAAATCACTTTGTAGTTGCTCAAAAACTTGATAAATCAAAACTTCTAATAATTTTGTAATATTCCCTGATTATTGATTATAAACCCCTCCGGGATAGAATAAGATTCTGATAATCCCGGCTCCCGCTAAATAGATTCTGATAATCCCGGCTCCCGCTGTTAGTTTTTTCCCGCTGAATAAATAACCCCGGCACAGCTTTTATAATCCCGCCCCGCTAATTTGGCTCAACAAGATTTGTTTTGTTTTGATATTCCATGAGAATTTCAACCGCGTACTGTCACGTGTTTTGATGACGTGTATCACGTGACTAACTACTACGACGCGCATTGGTAAAAAATGTCACGTGACCTATGGCTTAATGTAAGAACTATAAATACACTCGATCTACGTATCGGTCTAATTGCAGGCGCTGGCAAAACTCCAGCACACTACATTACTTAAACTCTTACATTAATTGGACCAGTTCCAAAACTTGTCTCGACGGTTACATTTGATTTTGTCCGGTTCGGTTAATTTTGTCGAGTTTGATATAAGCCATGTATTATAGTCGTCTACTTTGATGAACTTCATGACACGATATCATTATTAGCTTTTATCGCTTGCCAGGCTTAACTCGACGCCCCTTATCGATATTCATATTCATTCAACGTTCTGACTGAGGAATAGTGTTTAGATATAACGCCAATTTCAAAAGTCATAGTACCTTAGTTGTATTTATTTGGAAGTCCCCAATTCCATTTCATATTTTCCATAATGATCTCATATAGCTAGAATTAAGAGTAAAATGTCAAATTTGTTGGTCCTAGCACTAACCCGGAGGGGTTTATAACACATAACACCGGCACGCTTAAGTTATATTAAAATAACCCCTCGTGCTAAAGCACGTCGGGGTTATTTTCATAATAATCCCTCGTGCTTCGCACTCGAAATTATTATAAATTTTTCCCGCGCGTCGCGGGAAAAATTGAAATATAATCCCTGCGCATGCCGGGGTTATGTGTGTTATAATTACTTAACTTTATGGAACCAGACAGTTTTAATTTATACTTTGTCACATATCCCCCCAATATACATTGTAATAGTAGAACTACTAGGATTTATTACCTATTAGACCCTTTAAGTGAGCATTGTGCTAATTGACATTTGATTTGAACCAGGTACGTCGTCCTCTTCCCATCATAACATATCACATACATTTTGATTTACGCTCCATGGTCACTGAACTGGCAGGAAATATAAGAGGGGAAGGAAACGTTGTATTGTAGAGTAGGTAGGATGGACAGTGGGAGCAGGTGTGAAAACAGATTCACCAGGTGAGAAGGTGAGAGGATCTGCAGGGTGAGACGACTTGTGAGATTCTGGTTGGTAACTGGAGAAGGAAATGGGAGGTAAGCTGTAACTAGAAAGAAAGGGGTCATCGATGTTCAGAGGCTTTACAAATGTGAGAGGCTTCACGAAAGGTAGAGGCTTAACAAAAATGGGTCCTCGAACACTACCTTTTTGAAAGAAATTCGAATTTTGGATTGAACTGTAGGAACTGGAACATTCAGAGTATTTATATGGTTTTTCACCAGTATGAGTCATACGATGGCTAACTAGGTCTGATTTTTGGCTTGATTGTAGGACTGAATCCCTATCGGACGGAATCACTACCACCCAAATATCACTACTGGTAGTGATTCAGTCCGGTAGTGATTCAGTCCTAAAATATACCTCAATCCCTACCAGTTGATCTTAGTTCACTAGTCTAATATCATGACGTGATCTGAGCCGGTGCTCTCATGGAGTGCTTGCTATGGGGCCTGTCAGACATGTGATCCACAGACTTACGTACGCAACGAGGAGCCCTAACGAGAACTGGTTCGGATCAAGTCATCCATAATGACCTGCTATACGACAATACAGTGATGTGAACCTTCACATGCTCGGTATCTCAATCAGCTAGTGGGAATAATTTATAAACCCGCAACGCCTGTGTTTATCTTATACCACTATGTCTTCCTCATCCATCGAGTTTATTCCTGGCAGAAAGAAAGGCAGCCGCAACGTCCTCTACGATGGTCACCTCTACCACCTTAACAGAAAGAGGGAAGACAAGACCTACTGGAAGTGCAACAAGTGCAAGTCCCGCCTGATCCTTTTCCAGGACACCTTCTGTTCTGCTACCCCTCATGACCACGAATCTCAACCAGCAGAAATTGCAGCCCACCGCTCCAAGTCTAAAATGAAGACCCTCTCAGCTACTACTGAGAACTCAACTAAGCAGATTGTTGCAGACTCTGTCGCTGGACTATCCTTCGAAGCCTCGTCCCGGCTCCAGACCTGTTTACTCAACACTTCACAGTCCACGCCTTACACCCTACTGGATGGAGAATCCCTGCAGCCTTTGGACTCCTGCCCGGGAAGCGCACCATCATGTACGAGAACATCCTCAACGAACTGGACTCCTACGGACCCTTCTACCCTCAGTCGGTGCTGGTGGACTATGAAATCGCTATCAGGAACGCAGTCTCCAACGTCTGGCCTGGTACTACCTTGAGAGGATGCTGGTTTCACTTCAAACAGTCCTTGTGGAGACACCTGCAGAGCGAGGGACTTGCTGCTGACTACTCTATCGACAACTCTCCTATCAGAAAGTCCTTCATGCAGATTGGAGCTCTCCCCTTCGTTCCAGTCAGTGATGTGGACCAGGCGTGGCGGCTTCTCAAACCTTCTCTTCCTGCTGAGATGACTGCCTTCGCAAGATACTTTGAGTCGACATGGATCGGAACCACCTCCACCCCTCCTCTCTTCAGGCACGACTCCTGGAATCACCACGAAGCGTCCCAGATGTTACTACCTCGCTCCAGCAACATCGCAGAGGGTTGGAACAGCGGCTTCGCCTCCTTGGTCAACTGTCACAACCCTTCCATCTGGAAGTTCTTAGAGTGCATCAAGAGGGAGCAGGCTTTGACAGACATGAAAATCACCAACATCCTCACCAGAAGACCCTTCAAGAGAGCAGCAAAGTGGGAGAAGTTTGACCTGGAGATGCAACGTATTGTTGATGATTATGATAACTTTGGGGATGTTACCGAGTTTCTGAAAGCTGTTGGATCTAAGATTTTGGGTTAATGCTTTAATGTTTACTTATTATTGTGTGAATTAAATTACTGTATCAGTATATTATCTATTATTCTTTGACCAAATTTCTGCTTAGTCAATTATCACGAAAAATCTAATAATAATTAACAAAAAATAAAATAATTAACTAATGAAATACGAATAATTATGCCTTTATTGCAAAGTTCAGTAGGGATCACATCAAAGTGGTTAGGTTTAGATATTAGCGGTAGTGATTCAGTCCGGTAGTGATTCAGTCCTAAAATATACCTCAATCCCTACCAATAGTGATTGGTAGTGATTCAGTCCGTTAGGGATTCAGTCATGTAGTGATTCGGTCCGTTCACCAGGTCTGATTTTTGGCTTGAACTGTAGAAACATTCGGAGCATTTATATGGTTTTTCACCGGTATGAGTCATATGATGGCGAACTATAACTCTCGTTTTACGCTTGCACTGTAGGAACATTCGGAGTATTTATACGGTTTTTCACCGGTATGAGTCATCTGATGTTTAACTAGGTCAGATTTTCGGCTTGAACTGAAGGAACATTCAGAGCATTTATACGGTTTTTCACCAATATGATTCATCTGATGGCGAACTAAGTCTCGTTTTACGCTTGCACTGTAGGAACATTCAGAGCATTTATACGGTTTTTTACCGGTATGAGTCATATGATGGTTAACTAGGTTTAATTTTCGGCTTGAACTGTAGGAACATTCAGAGCATTTATATGGTTTTTCACCGGTATGAGTCATCTGATGGCGAACTAGGTCAGATTTTTGGCTTGAACTGTAGGAACATTCAGAGCATTTATACGGTTTTTCACCAGTATGATTCATCTGATGGCGAATTAAGTCTCGTTTTACGCTTGCACTGTAGGAACATTCAGAGCATTTATACGGTTTTTTACCAGTATGATTCATCTGATGGCGAACTAAGTCTCGTTTTACGCTTGTACTGTAGGAACATTCAGAGCATTTATATGGTTTTTCACCGGTATGAGTCATCTGATGGCGAACTAAGTTTTGTTTTACGCTTGCACTGCAGGAACATTCAGAGCATTTATACGGTTTTTCACCGGTATGATTCATCTGATGGCGAATTAAGTCTCGTTTTACGCTTGCACTGTAGGAACATTCAGAGCATTTATACGGTTTTTTACCAGTATGATTCATCTGATGGCGAACTAAGTCTCGTTTTACGCTTGTACTGTAGGAACATTCAGAGCATTTATATGGTTTTTCACCGGTATGAGTCATCTGATGGCGAACTAAGTTTTGTTTTACGCTTGCACTGCAGGAACATTCAGAGCATTTATACGGTTTTTCACCGGTATGAGTCCGTTGATGGTTAACTAGGTTTAATTTTTGTTTTACGCTTGCACTGTAGGAACATTCAGAGCATTTATACGGTTTTTCACCGGTATGAGTCCGTTGATGTGAAACTAAAGCTGTTTTTATGCTTGCATTGTAGGAACATTCAGAGCGAACGTAAGCATTTTTATTGGGATGAACCCACTGGTAGCGAAGCAATGCTGATTCCTGGTTGGAACAATCCAACTGAGAAACTGCATTCGAATACACTTCTGATTTAATAAGAAAATTGTCTTCCTCCTTCTTAATCTCTGTCTTGATCAATTCCGGTGAAATACTTTCTTCTTCTATTTTCATCTCATCTTTAAAGTCTGGAACATTTTGCTGCTCCATTTTTCTAAAAAGTCAAGGACTGTACAAAATTAAATTTCAGTGTTTGTTTGAGGAGCTTTTCGCTTTATTTACATCTGACATCAGGCAGAAACAAGCTTTTAAAAAGTGATGGTAGTAACCCACAAAATAGAAAACAAGTGAATGTGGTTACCAAATTTGATACAGGTTCAATTTAAGGTTAATAAGGTATTCGGATAATGCTGATTCTTATAAAGCCACATAAAGCTATTAAAGTATTAAACTACGAAACTTAATGTTCTAAACATTTACTAGAAGTGATCTCCAAACTAAAGCTTTAGTATAACTGTTAGTTTGAGCTTCCCTTCGCACCATAGGTTTTAAATAATGGCAGCTCATGTTACCAACTACCAAGGTAGCACCTGTTACCAAGGTAGCACCTGTTACCAAGGTAACACATGTTAACACGTGATGTGATAGCAGGGTCATAGTATAACTATAATTAACCGACTGCGTGTGTAATTATGTAGTTAACTGTTATAATATTGTAATCACGTGTTGCTAAGTGTTGCTAAGTGTTGCTAAGTGTTGCTAAGTGGGACCTATCTAGCGCTAGATGTCACCGCAAACAAAACGGTTTTACAAAACCCCTAATTCCAACCCTAACCCTAACAGTAACCATAACCCCGAAGCTATCCATATGCCATAACCCTTACCACAACCCTAACCCTAACCCCAGCCGTAAACAATAGAATTCGTCACGTGACCAATACAGTTTTTTGCCCGTAACTCTCCAGGGAAGTAGTTTTACCCTACGTCATGACTCATGGTGCAAGTGTGTGATTAGCGATCAGCGTCCAAAAATACACCGATTCTGATTACTTTCATCCCCTTGGCCTCAGTACAGGGCGTCAGGGCCTTTTCATATGTGACCAGATTTTTTTAATTGGGGCGACCCCTCGGCGCTTGCTATTTGTCACCCATGGCTGTAACGCACGAAAAAAACCCGCCCTCGAGCACTGAACCATTTGTGCGAATATTGTTGATTTTTATCTAGCTTGAAAGTCTTTTCGCTAACATGCGGTATCTAGCGTGTTTCACGCTAGATGTCGAATTTCAACAATCGGTAAAGGTCCGCTAAGTGTTGCTAAGTGTTGCTAAGTGTTGCCAAGTGTTGCTAAGTGTTGCTAAGTATTGCTAATCGAGTCAGCTACCATTAAAAGTGACACAAACCTCGTGCTCCAGGCGAGTAAGCTGGCTAACAGAGTTCAGAGCGTGTATGTGGAGGAACATCAAGATACTCTCACGGAATCCCATCCTCAATCATATCCGGGTTGTGCAACATGTTGCTGTCGCCATCTTCTTTGGCTTGGCTTTCCTTCAGCTCAAAAAGGTTACCAGTTTAATTCTGATATTAATAGTGGATTTATTTGGTGATTAAGTAATTAATATTTGTTATTTCTCCTTTTTGATGAACTAATCTTTAAACGAGTTTTACAGAGAACTTAAATTGTGTGGTCAGTGTGCGTCAAACGTACCGTAAAAATTAATAAATAAACGAGTTTCACAGTTCCTCGGAGTAAAACTGTAAAAATACTGATAATTTCGGTGCTGTAGTTAAAGTTACACTAATGTATTTTCAGGAAGAGGTGAGAGACACTACTGGGTGCCTGTTCCTCATTGTCTACATGCTCTCACTGTTCGGTGTCTTCAACAATATTCAGGTAATGGAGTATTTTATGAGTTTTAATTATAGTTGATATTATAGTTCTCTCTCTCTCTCTCTGTTCTGGTCAACGGTTTCTGGCCTCTTACGTTAAGATGGAGGCCTTCTCACCGTGCCCACAGAATGCAACTCCTGCTAGCTGCACGCCAGGACTCCCAAAGTATATACGAAATCATAAAATAATAAATATCAATGCAACAGACCCCTGGAGTCTTGAAGCTGTCACTACCTGTCTCAGAGCAAACCCACTTCCGTTGTAGTACTTCTGCGGGTAGACAAGGGACTTCCGAGCAAGGTCAAAGCCTGGGAGATATGTCTCTATGCGGAGATGGGCCTAGGTTGAGTTCCTAGTATGGGATTTAGCGAAAGTTCCTGGTGAAGAATCCAAGGAGGTTACCCAAAAGAGTTTTCCCTATCCAGTCTTGTCGACTGTTCCACAAATTTGAAGATATGATGTAGTTTACTGGTGTTAAGGTAGAGTTTACCAATTATTCTCATTCTGAACGTCATGATCTGGATGCACTTGTAGAGGAGGTGCTGGGATGTTGCTGCTTCTCCTGAAAAGTGTTCGCAATCTTGCGTCTTGAAGTTGACGTTGTTTGCCACGTTCTGAAAATAAACTAGTGGGCTGTGACCTATTCTGAAAGCGACCATGTTAGCCATCTGATGTGAGTTCCAGAAAAATAAAAGTTCCTGTATTTAATTTGTGGAGGAACATCACAAGTGGAATGTTCCTTTGTCACTGAGTGTGGCCTATTTGGGAGGAAGGGTTCTGGTCCTATGGGGATGTTGTTGGATTGATCGTCCCTTGCGAATTCTTCCGCTAGTTCTTTACCGTATACTCCTTAATGTCCTGGAACGAAGTCCTACTCGATGTGAATACCTAGTGAGTTGGTCTGAGATGTTCAGAACGAACCTGGAGTTAAAACTGGTGCTGTTAAGCGCTTTAAATGCAGCCTGGGAATCTGAGAGGAATTTATGATTGATGGAGATCCTAAGTTATCATAAGTCCAGATACTTGCCATGTATAACGCAAATAGCGGGTATGATTTCCTCAATTAACCTGAAGGAGGAATGTCAGTCCTGAAATGTTACCATGTAACGTCGAGCTAAAAAAATGAATCAAAAGATTGAGTAATGCATTCGATAAACATTGTATGTTCTATTTGCATCCCCTAAGCATTGCATTGATGTTTATTCCTGATCCGGTTAGCTTTGCGTCTCAGAACTAAAGAGGTCCACTATGCTTTAGTGAGCTATGCTCGCCACCAGGGTACTGTAGATCTAAGGGTTCCCCGTGTAATGGGGCAGGCTGTGAAAAAGCAGCTCTGCAGGATGTCCGAGATGAACTGTTTTCGAGTGTTGAGATCTTCCGCTGTAGAAACTGAATAGAACCAGTAAGGGTGTCAGTCAAACTCTGCTGCTACTAGATGATTGTAGAGCGTCCAGTCACACTTCAATGAAGAGTGTGGCAAAGCTAACCCGGTCCCCTGAAAAGTGGTTACTGGAGGAAGAAGTGTCAGGAATTCTCGCTATCAGTGTGTCCTCGTAGTCAGAGTTTAAATCCCTAATTCTGTCTTATCACGAGCCTGTGTCTAGCGTGTGTCAGCCCTTACGCATTAGCTGTTTTAACTGAAAAGACCTGAAAAGTGGTTACTGGAGGGAGAAGTGCCAGGACTACTCAATATCAGTGTGTCCTTGTAGTCAGGATGAGCGAATTGGAATCCCTAGCTCTGTGGTGGGTGACTTCGATGGGACCTGAAAGCTGAAAGAGAATTTCCTGGTGATTTAGTAGCTCTTAGAGCTAGGTATCTGTGTCCAATGTATCGTCATTTGTGTGTGTACTATCTTGTAACCTGATATCTGAAAGAGAAATTTCCTGGTGCTTGGTAGCTGTTAGTGTTGACTTCCTGGTTCCTATGGGAACTTTGAGTTGGCAAGGCCCAACCTTTGTACTCAACAAGAGAGCACACCACCCGTTAGTGCCAACCAGGCCACACCACGTGGAGGTTCGGAGAGGATTTCGTGACCCTGATATTATAGTTAATTATGGTGGAACTTGGAACTTGGAAGTAACTGACCTGCACAAAATTCAGCATTGTAAATTACATGAAATATAAATCAACGCGAAATATATCCATGAAAATGAATCTCCTAAAGTCTTAACACAATAAGCTGTTAAAGATTGCAGCAAATTTAAAGCCAACAAACTGACAACATACTCCTCCCATACTCCACTAAGAATATTCTCAGTGCTATATTATCATATTAGTTGTAGACGGATTGCTCCTTTACGCATTTAAACGGTCGTCTTATGACGTAAATTGACTACAATGTTCAGCGATTCTGCCAGATTATACAGGGTGGGCCAAAAGTCAGTGTGCAAACGTTGGCCTTAATAGCTCAGTCACTGAGTGCCCAATTGAAATACTTCTTCCTGGTATGACTTAGTACCACCACTGGTTCGAGGAATTTGTCAACTCGAAAAATATTCGCGTTCATTTTTTTCAAATGGAGGTTCATCTTCACATTTATTTGATAGTTTGGATAGTCGGATCAAGCTAAATGTTATTGAATTGTGTTTGGCCATTCGAATTACGTTTGTCCTGAAAGAATTAGAACTGTAGCTTCTCAGATGACTGAGATATGAAGCATAACGAGTTTATTCATTACGTGTGATCAGGTGATTGGTTTACCTAATCACGTGATAAGGTGACCCCGTTAACTACCCCGTTAAACATTATGGGAATTGTTAAGGGTGCCCAATTAAGGTGTCGTGTCACGGTGTCACATAATCACCCAGTCAATTTTGTTAACGAGATACACAAAATGCTTGATAACTTCGTCATTTCTAACCCGTGTTGCCTCATGTTTTCAGATCATATGCAACATTTGATAATCTACCGTCTCTGAAAAAATTAGGCGTTCAGCATGTTCAGAGAAAACAATATAGGTGTTTTAATATTGAATGGGCGTGGTCTAAAATATTTCGAATTTTTCAAATTTTGACGACGGAATCCTCGAACCAGTAAGTACAGTATGCCATCTGCAAAGCAACAGCTCTCAAATATAAAACACGGCGGAGGTATAAGACCCAACGTTTGCACACTGACTTTTGGCCCACCCTGTAGTTGTGCGATGGGTTACTAATCGACCAAATGACTAGTTGAATCCGTTCTTTCAGAGTTTTATATAAATGTTTTGATATTGAAGGTATAATATCGTGGTTATGACGAGCTGTGCGCTAACCTTATGAAAATGTAACGGTCATTAAATTCAGCTTATAGAAAAAAAATCTTAAGGGTACGATAGAAAATTTGTAGTTGAGTAATTTTCTAGTAACAGTTTAATTAGGTTATTAAAATTTGGCAGTATTATTAATCAATTAATTTAATCAACTGTAAAATAGTTGAACTAATAAAGTTTAACGATCAAATGGCAGGTGTTGCTATAGTTACTGTTATAATTAACAGGTGTTGACTGTTGCTATAGCTACTGTTATAATTAACAGGTGTTGCTATAGTTACTGTTATAATTAACAGGTGTTGCTATAGTTACTGTTATAATTGACAGGTGTTGCCATAGTTACTGTTATAATTAACAGGTGTTGCCAACGGAGCTACCCCTATTTGTCAGAGAATATTCCTCTGGTACCTACTCTATCTCTTCCTGGTACATCGCTAAAGCTCTAATAGAGGTAAAATAGCAGAAAGAAACTATGTAAAAATGAACAATTGAATATTTGTAACCACTTAATTTCCCACTGGCGTTACGTGTTAAAGTGCTCGCCTGCTAATCTCTTATTTCGCTATAAAGCTGTTAAAATTATTCTGAGAAGCCCACACCCAGAAAGATTCAACTTTTCTCAGAGTCAGACATTCTTTGGTGCCCACTAAACAATTTTTCTTATGCTAAAGAAGGTCCGGTCTTTTAAAGTTTTCTTCTGTCGCACCACAGTACCTATGCAATGTGTTTGAACGGATATGAATAAAGCATGCAGCTAAATGAAGTAATTATACAGATTGCAGCTTCATAACTCTTACTAAGAAACGTGCCCTTTGGTTGCCACCTCAACCTGTCTGATGGCTGGTGGCTGATGTAGTGAACCTGTAAAAGAGGTTACAAGCAGGAGTAAGCTGTTTTCTTACGAATCTGAAATCTGAAAGATGAAAGAAGCACCAGAAGAAAAGTGTTTCGTATCCTCGTTATGTTTTGGGATCACTTTACTGCTCTAATGCTGACACTTTTTACAAAATTATTGTAAGAAGAATCATGCTGGAGTTCTGCTGCAAGTTTGGAATCCAGCCGAAATATTTTAAGTAAAAGCCATCGACATGGTATAGAGAAATTGTACACTAAAAGTATTAGGTTGAAAGGAACTTGGCTCATTGGCTGTTTACTTTAATGAGTTTGAGCGGCTAAAAAGACGAAATCCTCTGTCCCCTCAACGTCGCCGGGAACAATGCATGAGCTCGAGAATGGTAAAATCTAGGTAAAATCTTATGGTAGCTTACTAAACTCAGGAACCTAAAACGGTCATTAAAAAACCATCTCTGGAGTGATTAGTCATTAGATTATGCAGCCGTAACTAAATTTGGTAAAAGCCTCCCTAACCAAAGGATGCAGCAGCTACCTGAGCTCTTCAAAGAGGGTCTAAATCTAACGACCACCAGACTTGGAGCCGGGAGCAGTCGTCCAGCTTGAGATACAAGTCATACTAAATATCCCAGCCAAACTAAATGCTATATAATACGAACTCTGAGAACAAAATTTAAATATATTTATTAAGTTATGTTGCGTTATAAAGCAATAAACTACATAAAAGGATAGTTGAACCGTGAGATCCGAGTACGATTGACATGTTGTACATAATGAAAATTCATGGAACTTTTAACAATATTGATATATTCCTCGAACGAGTGATAATAGCAAGTCATACCAGAAACAATTATCTCTATCAGACACTGTGTGACTGAGCTAAAAACCCCTACGTATGTGTACTGACTTTGTCTGAGTAGCAATTTCGATATTTTTAATGACTTGCAAGGTAGGTGTCTCTTTTTTTTTAATTAAAAAAAAACGACATATATTTTATTTTCCTTAGAAACGAGACTATTTTTTTCTCAGAAATCATACTATTGAGGACTATTCTATGAATTTGTATTTCTCATTAAGACGTGATGAAAAGTATTATGATGCTACAAATGCAGCCGCATTTATTAAATGCATGGCCGCTGATCAATTTCCCGATCCATTATGCCTATGGTGTCTTATATCATATTTCTTTTTGATTATGGAAATCATATTTTTATGCAACCATATGCTTATTGCTTACGCCATGCAAGCAGACACGGATCTTTGCAGTATATTATTCACATATAATAGGGGAACCTAATCCAGAATATCGCGCAAAAATAACTTTGTGAATATTGCCATAGCAACTAAACGAGTCAACGACAGCCGTTCGAATCAAGTGAGAAATGTGTGCGCGGACGCATCCTACCAGTGCCCTCGTTGATCGCTAGACGCTAACCCTATAGTCCTTGAAAATTTTGTGACTAACGGCACAAGAATCGTGGATCGGGAAAAATGGCAGCAACGGGCGACCATGCCAAGATGATGTGTACAATCACAAATTTGATTGTTTATCTATGACGGTGTACTGTTGTCAGTTTCGTTCGCGTTTAAACCGACATTTCTATGATTAGGAACTGGTAAGATTAAGATGCAATAAAAGTTTGAGCAGTTCATAATTTAAGGGGATCGGACAGCAAGAATAAAATAGTACTGGAAATCTATATATTTACCAGTCTTTGAAGTTTAAAGTTAGACGTGTACGGAGTCAGTAAACAGCGTACTTCCCTCATTCTTTGCTAAGGAGGGGCAAGATTCTTGAGACAATGATCACGCTACTGGGCGTTATAGGTAATGGTTATAGGTAATGGTCACGCACGTCGTACAATGATTATACCTCGTAAGTACTTAAGTAGAATCAGCAATGCCAATAGTTCATGCTGCTCATCTCAATATCTAGATACAATCCGTCAACAGAGATACCCCAAGATCATACCTCTCTGTGGGCATTTTTGTTCAACAAACTGACTCGATACAAACTAACTTATATGGTGCTTGCTCCAATTATAACTGTATATAACTACGTTTTACCGCAGGTACCAGCCTGTTTCCTACTTCCGCTCATCTTCAACCTGATCTGCTACTTTATGATCTTCAGAGATCCCATGTTCACCAAGTTTCTCTTTCTGTGGCTCATTTCCGCTCTGGCTATCCTCACTTCCACTTCCATTGGTATGTTATTTTACCTTGTTCACTAATGGACTGTTTACCCCGCTGTCTGCTGTTGGTTTAGTCTGTGCGGCCACTAAATTTGTGAACACGTTAAGTTTAACTTCCTTATAGTTTCACTGGCACGAGTTACGAGTCAACAAATTCAAATTACGAATTACGAATGATTGAAATTAACTGCTAAATGATTCCCATATGGCTTGATGGTAATCTGTTGAGTGGTTTTCTGTTTCAGCTTACTTCGTGTCAGTAATAGGCTGGGAGCCCTTGAATACTCTAGCTATTGCCCCCACCATATACGCTCCTCACTTCCTATTTTGTGGACAGGTAAAACTTGTAGTGGTATTTCATTGGCATTAATTGATATATAACACATTGCTGGTCACAGGAACTAATTAATCTAAGGATTCACGAATATATGCTGTATTTGGTAATTACGAATCACGTACAATGCTGCCACACGCGTACAGCAAAACCCCGAAATCCTGTGAACAAAAAATGACCGTCTAAATCTTCAGTTTATTCTTATTGGGAATGTGAAAGATTGGATGCTGCCATTCCAAGAGACGTCCTGGCTTCGTTACAGTTACGAAGCAGCAGTTATCTCTCACTTCGGAGATTATGGCGGTAAAATAGGTGAGATATCTACCATCTGAATCTGCCATTTAGCTTACTTCTATACTTTTTCCTGGCTTTTAAAGTTTATCAATATCCGAGACCTGAAGTTCCATTGTTTAATGACTGTTTAAACTAATTTCTCGTGGTTTTCACTGCAGGTTATTACCATGATGATCCACCGAACCCAAAACCAGAATCGTACATAGACGGAGGATCTGTGATAGAAACACTGATGATGAAAGAGGTAAGATGAATATCTTAATGTGAGTAACTTCAAGATGATGTAGGATTGGGTAGTATAGGTCTTATAATAAAATCAAAACCGATCCAACTTTGAATAGTCACATTTTTGCTATGAAAGTAAATTACTTATCAAAGGTTTGCGGTTGAAACTTCAATGTCTTATGATACAAGTGCGAAACATACAAAAATTATAAAACCTTATGGAACAAACTTTCAGGACAATCTGTGGACTGTTGATGTGCCGGCTTTGATAGGACTTACATTAGGGTTTCACATATGTGCCTTTATAATCCTATTCATACGATCTAAAGGAAAATGAGGAGTGCTAGTTTGATAATTTGATAACTAAGAATCAATCAAATGTATCGATCCAACGTTTTTGATCCAGAGTTGGTGATGGCACAAGTTTCTGGGACTCTTTTGTAAATAATGGATATAAATCAAATTTTCAGAGTTTTGTGATTATCTACAGAAATGATATGGCTCTTTCTTAAAGTTGCATGAATATTGATCCCTGAACCCCTGAATTTTAGTTTGATCCGGATACAAGTCTTCTGAGTCAAGTAAGATATTTATCAGTATGAACTGTTTAAATTTTCTGATTTTTACATTTCTGCACCAAAATAAGCATGCTCTTTTAAAAAAAGGTAAGTTTTTACTTGATTTTTCAAGGCTAACCCACCATATTCATGCTCTGAATAAATGTAATACATTTTAAAACATTAAATTGGACATATATCATATTTTATAAGAGCCTTACTATCGCAGATCTTGTAAAGCAGAACTTTTTAACAATCCCCGTACTGCTTGCTTACCGTGATTCAGGTCTAATTTTATGAAAGCTGAGTTTTTAATTTGAATCTTATTTTGGAATTTTTAGTTCAGAATATTTATATTTCAACAGAAATTGCAGAATTAGTTTGATAAAAGAAATTTATATATATGTCTTTCTGATTTCATAAACATGATAAATCTTCAAAGTTAAAAAAGCTAAATAAGTAAACTCAATACCATCCCAAATCAGCGAGTCAAATCCGAAACAATGAAATACGTTCAAATATCAATTATTTATTCAGTCATAAACTTAATATCAAATATAATAAAATATGACAATATCAATATAATGATATTATCTTTCTCATCAATCTGCAATGCTTATCTGGAGCTGACCCACCTCCACGGGCAGAATATCATAACGAAACACTCGAAACACCCCACTTCTGATCTGTAGGCACCTCCTGGGGTAATGTTTGTTAGAAAATAAGGGGTTTGAACTTTTAATGTCATAGTATTGTTCTTCAGAGTGGTCAAAAAATCATGCTCCATATTATGGAGTCCATGATCATTCTAAATATCAAAATGAATTATTCACAGTATAGCACAAAATTAAAATATGTTGCATATTCTAGTTCTCCTCATCTTTACCTGATGTGGGCATTCCACGCTTCCTCCTCCTTTTCTTCTTCCTCTTTCTCTTCCCAATTATTGGATAGTCAACTATACTATACTCACTTACATCTGATAGATTTTATTTAAGTTAAGAAGGACCCACAAGGGGACTCGGCTATGTTCATTTACTATAAGTTCACAAATTGGTGTTGTCCAAATAATCATAATCCATGCAAATAATAGACTTAAAGTTATAAAAATTTAGTATTCATTTCACCCACCAGTATATGTAACTTCGTCATTACTGACATTATCTTCTTTGTAGTAACCAGGGTCATCAGCGGCCCTGTAGTCCGGCCCTAGCACTTCCGGTTCTATCTTGGTCCTAGAGATTGTGAGGATTTATTTCGTTGATTTTGGCTTTTAGAATTGTAAAACTATGAAATTAAATCAAACAGTAATATAATAATGGCAGCCAAAAATCTAAATCACAGGTATAATTTACTTTCTGTTCCGATCATCAGACTCCATGGTCCTGTAGTCTAGATGAGGTGGTATCCTAGTTTTAGGATCCACCTTCATTCTATCCTCGCTGGGCTCGCTACTGGAGAGTTTTGTTTTCTCATCACTTATTCTCGACTCATTAGCTAAGCTCAGGCTAGGATCGTCAGCCTCACCGAGTCTGGTCTGAATGTTAGGCCACACTCCAAACTGCTCTGGTCCAGGTTGAACAACTGGAGTGGGTTCAGGAGGAGGAGGGGGAGGAGGAGGAGCAGGCTCACTCTTCTTCTTCTTCCTCCCAAACAGACTAGACCTCCTCTTCCTCTCACCGTCCTCACTCGCACTACCATCCCTCTTCTTCTTGTTGAAAGAGAAGGATTTGGTACGTCTGACCTTTTTCTCGGCAGGATCTGCCTCACTCTCACTCGTTTCCGCGTGTTTGATACTGCTCTTACTCCCCCATCGTCCTAGCTTTGACTTTGACTTCCGTTTTGATTTGGGTGTCGCGTTTGGAGATGCCGCGTCTGTTTCCTGAATGTTATTATTAAGATCGACCTGAAGTTGTTCATTGTTTTCAGAAAGAATCCTGAAAATGCTAGTTTAGCTTGATCAGGTTGAGTGCATTGTGAATATTAGCATTGATGTATTCCTTTAATAACTTACCCCATCCTTGGATTTGCTCTTTTTGACTTTCTTCTTTGAATCCCTTTTCTTGGTCTTCTCTTCAGCTGCAATATTTGCCGTCAACCTAGTCAGGTTTAACATATTTTCGTGGTTTAATAATACGTCGGACTAGATGCTTAGATGCATGATTCATCATAACCTAGCATTATCCAGACTTGCTATGATTTACAGGTACCCGAATATGTTCTCATGTTGAGAATTAATATGAATACCATTTAATTTAATCATAACAACTTACAGCTGCTGCAAATTTTGCAAAAGTGATTGTAATAAAGCAATGGATATTTAGAACTAATCCGCTCATTTACTATAGAAAATTACACTTGATCGGGATCCGGTTATCATATGACAGGAATATCTTCAACTGCACTATTTTATTTCTAATTCTAAGTTCTTAAATGTTCTACCCATATCATTGATAGTCGTCTGTATTTCAAGATATCTGTCATACTTCTTTTCTGACATTTTCACCACGAACTTATCGTGATCTGCACTCTGATCGTAAGTGAGATCCAGGTCAGTGATATCCTTATACTGATGAATCTGATCCCATTGCGCCGGAGTGAATAGGACGATGTAGTAACCATCTAAACGAACAGGTTAAGTCAAGGTCTTATAGTATATGGCAATTAGGTTCAACTAAAAGGTAGATTTATCTTAATTTTTGGCCTGAATTATTCCGAATCTGGCTGTTAGGACTTTAATGTTTGCTTCGCACTATATGTGCTCAAAACTTTGGGATACCGCTCTTTAGATATCCAACTTGGATAATTTGCTTGGTACAAACTTGCAGCTACCATTTTATCTTTTGTTGTATGCAGTAGGATAGTTAATTACATAACAGGAAAATGGAAATAGAACGGAGAAAGAAGACAAGCCTGCGCCTTACTGGCGGCCTGGACTCCCATAGGCATAACTACATAATTTATGTTTTTATATTCTGGGGAATTTAATCTTAACTATTATTCTGCTTCATATTGCAATCTTAGGACCATCTTCTTAAAGGTTAACTCCCGCTGCTTGGTAATAGTTGGACAGTATGATCACATAATAATAATCTAATTGCTCTGTAATTTTACTGGATAGTATAAAGTCCTAATTGTAACTTTCCTGCCTACTTTTATGCCTCCAGTCTTACTCGTCAGCATATGCATTGATGAGTTTATTTGAGCAATCAATTTTGTCTAGAAACCGGCAAAAATATTACAAAAACTGTAGTTGAACTTGAAACTTTTAAAATCCACCTTAATTCGAATCTTAATTTATTTTCTTATCTAGTTCCGTATAACGTGAATACACAAGTCAGCGCGTTAGTGACTAAATTTACTAAATTAGTGACTAACCCTGAGCCTGACTAACAGTCTCCAGCCTGGTGTCCTGATTTATGAGAGCCTGGAACTGGCTGTACTGTTCACCGGTCAACACCACGTTGTACTCCCCGTCATCAGTGATCACGTAGTTCTCCAGCATGTCCCCCAGGATCCCACTTTCTCTCATCTGGTTAAACTGCTCACCTGGTATCGTCAGTACGTACTCGGCTGGGTGTGATTAGTTAATGGTTTGTCAATCTGGTTGTTTACAGACTGAGGGCTTGTCGCATTGCGGGAGGTGTCGCATTGCAGGAGGTGTCGCATTGCAGGAGGTGTCGCATTGCTGGAGGTGTCGCATTGCAGGAGGTGTCGCATTGCAGGAGGTGTCGCATTGCAGGAGGTGTCGCATTGCGGGATCTGCCGGTGCTAGCCACGTGCTACCGCGCAAAGTGCGCACTACACGTCTACCCAAAAACAATTTAGGACCCTCGACGCATGAAAAAAGAGCTTTGGCACAGCACCAGTTTGTCAGGAACGTACTCATGGTCACCGAGTAGGTCGTCACGAGGTACAGTCAGTTGATAGATAAATCGAACGTGACCAATCTTGGCCATTGAGAAGGACTGCATTTTATACACAGCTCACAATTCAGATCCTTATAGTTTGAGAGAACAGCAAGCCAATTCTTTTAGAACGCAAGCGTCTATTAATGAAATCAAATTATAAAATTATTAAGCTTCGTATATACTGATATTTCGGACCTTTACTGATAGTTGAAATTCGACATATGACGTCATCTAGCGTCATCTAGCGTCATCTAGCGTGAAATATCGCCAGATGATGATAGATGACGCTAGATGACGCTAGATGACGCTAGATGACGCCAATTAGCGACATTGTCGCTAAGTGCACGGCACCTTTCGAATGTCGCTATCTAGCGCCATCTAGCGCTATCTAGCGCTATCTAGCGCTATCTAGCGCTATATGACGCTATATGACGCTAGATGACGCTAGATGACGCTAGATGACGCTAAGCACGCAGCACTGACGCCAGGCGACAGATAGCGCTATTTTCATAAAATTTCCGCCCTTTTTTTTGCGACATCTAGCGGTATCTAGCGCTATCTAACGCTATATGTCGCAACGACATCTGACGCAGCGCTATCTAGCGCTATCTAGCGCTATCTGGCGCTATCTAGCGGAGAATGTCGGTTTGTGACAGTTTACGCTAGATAGCGCTAGATAGCGCTAGATAGCGCTAGATATCGCGGCGACAGCTAGCGCTAGATAGCGCTATCTAGCGTAAACTGTCACAAACCGACATTCTCCGCTAGATAACGCTAGATAGCGCTAGATAGCGCTATCTAGCGGAGAATATCGGTTTTTGACAGTTAACGCTAGATAGCGCTAGATAGCGCTATCTAGCGCTAGATATCGCGGCGACAGCTATAGCTATGGCTATAGTTGTTAAACGTTAAATATATATAACGTTGGTTATAGGTTTTATTTTTAACGTTGCAAAACGTTTATTATTTGACTTCAGATCAAGGTTACCAGAGTTTAAAATTCAACTACATTTGAACGTTGTATGTAGGTTACATATAAAACGTTGTTAAACGTTAGATATCTAACGTTGGTTATAGGTTTTATTTTTAACGTTGCAAAACGTTTATTATTTGACGTCAGATCAAGGTTACCTTATTAACTATAAGCAGAGTTTAAAATTCAACTACATTTGAAAGTTGTATGTAGGTTACATATAAAACGTTGTTAAACGTTAAATATCTAACTTTGGTTATAGGTTTTATTTTTAACGTTGCAAAACGATTATTATTTTACGTTAGATCAAGGTTACCTTATCAACTATAAGCAACGTTCAAAACTCAACTAAATTTTAACGTTGTATGTAGGTATACATATAAAAACTTTGCCGGCTGGTATAGGCTTAGACTAATATTTTGAGAAAAAGCGGCGCGTGATAGTAAATTACGAGTATCACCCGTTAACGAGTGAGATTCTTCCAGTATAAGCTGTTTATGCTCTAACCATAGCCCTCTCGCTAGTATAGTAGTACGCTTAGACACATGGCTATGTGAAAGAAGATGTAGGGGGTGCACGATAAAAATAAACTTGCTCGGATTTTAAAAATTTTTGTACCATTGTTTTCTAGAGACTGTGAGAATTTTCACAATACCAAATTTGTCATACCTTTTTGAAAAGATCAGTGAGTTTCGCCTATGTGCCATATTTGATGGTGCGCGGCTTTTGGAGCAAAAGTAGCTGTAAAAGTCGCGTAATTTGACCAAATTCGTCCAAATTTGACCGTTTTTGTCGTATTATTCGGATATATCTTCAGTTCCTTAGATGAGATCATTCTGAAAATTGGCCACGACCTTCCAATAGGGTTTTCACATCTGTCCGAAAAATTTGGTGGATATCGGAGTTGATATAGTGATCAAAATGGGGCAAAATACGCTGCTTTTATGTTTTAGCTGTAACATAATGTCTGATGGTTGGATATGCTTTAAATTTTTCGGACACTTTCCTTCTTAGTCTATGAGTAAGCTTACCAATTTTTGTTGCAATTGGAGGTCGGGAAGGATACTCAATATCTATTAGTTTGAAGAAAATTTTGCTGGCCGAAATTAGCGCTAAAAAACCATCCTACAGTCGGCACGCGCGGCTCACTGTCGATGGCGCGGCGCACTACCTAGAAGATGATGTAAAGATCTTAATGTTAAATTAGCATTTGCAAATTAATAGTATTGAAATCTCGCACAGCAAGTTATTAAAAAAATGTAATGAGAGTCGAGCCGAATTTATTGTTCAGTAATCACATTTACAATGGGTTTACACATTACATAACCGTTTAAATTTCAAATTAATGTTCCTGCACGAATGAAAATGCTTCATAATCATATATCGTACCCACGAGTTTTCAGTTTACGAACTACGCGCAAGTGTGAAGTGCAAGCGCGAAAGCTTTATGACAGGCTGAGCGCGGCCCAGTAACAATCTTCGGGATTGGAATTATTTTGGATAAATACCTTACAGCTTTGAGCTTCGAGTAATCTATTTGACGATGTTTGTTGTAGCGCGATGCACTACTGGGCCGCGCCGCGCAGCCAATAATGCTTCTTGCAACCACAAGTGCTTTACTAAACATAGTCCCAGGAAAAGTTACCGGCTGGTGGTGGTACTAGAGTTGGTTTAATTTAAACAGACGGCTTGACCTCGCGCGCGACAACAAGCATGATTTGCACGCGTGGCGCATTCCAATGTTCAGGCAGCTACCACGTGACACAATTCAGCCAACCAGAGTACAGGAATCCGCAAAGTTAAAGTTGCAAACTTTTGATCGGCCCGAAAGGGGACTTTTCTGGAGATTTTGAGATAACTCAACAATTACGTTGTCTTGAATTTTCCTCCTGGAGAGGTAACGTTACTTTTACAAAAGGAACATGTTACAAAAAACCGGAAGTCTCCAACTCTTTTACTTTCAAAGTTAAGCCCCATCCGGTCAGGCCTCAGGGTTCCTGGGGTTGGTCAGTACGTTACTGTACGAACTTTTAAAAGGTGTCGAACTGTACAAATTTTAAAAAAGCTGTCGAGGAATTTTTACCGAATTTTTTTTTTAATTTTGTTTTTTAATCACTTCAGTCCGAAAAATTTGTTATTTTTGTCCGGGAGGTTACACTTCAGATTTAAAATATTAACATGCATCCGCACGTCATCGTTTCCCGCCATTTTAACACAAATTGTTGCAATTAGCTTTTCGAAAATTTATGAGGCGAATTTTTCCCAAAATAATCCCGAACTGAAAAAACGTGCCAAACTGTACGAATTTTTTACGACTTTTGTACGAACTGACTTGTAGCGCGATGCGTTACTGTGCCGCGCCGCGCACTTAATAAGGCTTCTCACAGCGACCTGGCTAGATCGGCGAAATGCGCTATATACTGTGCCGCGCCGAGCTGCCATGAATTGACATCGTCAATTAAGAACTGACCAACTATGTTACTAAATTGTCGACGCGATATGCACCATGACTGGGCCTCGCCGAGCTGTGAACAGTGAAGGATTGACATCGTGAATCAACGCGATGCGTTACTGTGAGTGTGTCACGCCGCGCATCCAAAAATGCTTCTCGGTATCCAATAATGCTTTTCGGCGAAATGCACCACTGAGCTGTGAAAGATTGGCATCATGAATCAACGATGTTAGTAACTTGTATAAATTTTGTCGAAATAGTACGTGCCGCTTTCTTCCGATCCCGAAATGTTAAGGGTCGACGGTCGTTTACATATTAGTATTACGTAATCAGCTGAGGAGGTTGGGGTTTTCAAATGATTATTGATTACGCTAGTGTAATATATTGACATAAATATATTAGCTATGGTAAAACTGATTACGGGGTATGTGAACGACCCCTCATTGTTAGTAATCAGTTCCATACATAGCTATTAAGCTATTAATATCATGTCACAATCACACTAGCGAGCGTAATAATTTGGAAAACCCCGGCCGGCGGCATCAGGCCCCTTATATAATTATAATATGTAAACGACCCCTTGATTAAGTGATATTTAATATTTTGTTCCACTCAGCCGAATATTTGATAAATCGAGTGTAATAGTTGGGTGACTTCGACGAGCCGCGCAAGCTTATAGTTATAGTTATATCATTCTCACTTAAATTATAATTAATTTTCATACACAGTAAAAATTAATTTTCATATAAAATAAAAATAACAAAAAAGATTGGGTGGGAAAAGACAGGCTGCGCTTACGGTCCCAGTAAAACACACACACACACACACACACACACACACACACACACACACACACACACACACACACACACACACACACACACACACACACACACACACACACACACACACACACACACACACACACACACACACACACACACACACACACACACACACACACACACACACACACACACACACACACACACACACACACACACACACACACACACACACACACACACACACACACACACACACACACACACACACACACACACACACACACACACACACACACACACACACACACACACACACACACACACACACACACACACACACACACACACACACACACACACACACACACACACACACACACACACACACACACACACACACACACACACACACACACACACACACACACACACACACACACACACACACACACACACACACACACACACACACACACACACACCCACCCAGATAGCAACATCTAGCGCTAAATAGCCTGGACTGTCACGACCCAAAATTCTTCGCTATCTAGCGCTATATGTCGCAACGACATCTGACGCTATATAGCGCTATCTGGCGCTATATAGCGCTAGATAGCGTGAACTGTCGTAAACTGACTTATCCCGCTATCCAGCGCTTGATGTCGCCTGCGTCAGATGTCGTCGCGACAGATGTCGTCAGATGTCGTCAGATGTCGCTAGATGGCGTCAGATAGCGTCAGATGTCGCGGCAACATATGACGCTAGATGACGCTAGATGTCGTCCCTAGAATTTTGATGAAAATAGCGCTATCTGTCGCCTGGCGTCAGTGCTGCGTGCTTAGCGTCATCTAGCGTCATCTAGCGTCATCTAGCGTCATATAGCGTCATATAGCGCTAGATAGCGCTAGATAGCGCTAGATAGCGCTAGATGGCGCTAGATAGCGACATTCGAAAGGTGCCGTGCACTTAGCGACAATGTCGCTAATTGGCGTCATCTAGCGTCATCTAGCGTCATCTAGCGTCATCTATCATCATCTGGCGATATTTCACGCTAGATGACGCTAGATGACGCTAGATGACGTCATATGTCGAATTTCAACTATCAGTAAAGGTCCGATATTTCTTTGTTTAGATTTATTGACTAAAGATCTCGATATTGTGGGACTATGTTGTTGGGTATAGTTAAAGGTTATATAGTAGTTTACTAGGATATAAAGGATGGTTTCATGCTCCAGCTGATCATAAGCTTAGTAAATAAGTAAATAACTGCGGTCATGTTTCATTATAATTACTCTCATTCGACTCAATCCATATCAAAATATTTATCGACATATTATATTTTATAACTGTAGTCCGAAATTAGCTGGACTCATTTGACCGCAAGTCATTTTGCCAACTGCCAGCCCTATTCATACTTCACCTTATCAATATGGACGAAACTTCTTATTATACAGACTGTTAGGCGGCAGGAACACGATTGACTAATAAAAATAATCATTTTATAATTGGTGATTGATCTGGTTTTTCAGTTTTTACGTAAATTGAAGAAACGAAAATGGATTTTATATATTTGACCCTTACCAGTTTGAGGTTCTTCTACTTCATCACCATTAGCTTTTACCAGCTCATCTGAAACAGACATAATCGGGCATAAAATATATAGAAATATACACGGCACCATTATAACTTATTCTAAAGAATGATCGCTTCACTACAAACATGAAATACTACAGAATATTGAGGAAATGAGGTGCTCTGTTAGTAGCACCTCACAATATAATGTGGCCTGCAGGAAAGATTCAACAATTAACATCAGTATAAATGCCACCTTTCTTCTCCGCATTAACGACGCTCTTTTCCTCTTTTTCCTTTGATCCGAATATATCACTCAAGCCAAACCCAAAAGAAATCCTCCGTTCTGCCTTGTCTCCTCTTTTGGTCTAGGATTAAAACTTGATTAATGTGTGCTTCTTAAAAGTTGAAACTGTTCAATTCTCATACGTAGTTTCAGCAACTTTTTAGATATAATTTACTATAAATTTCTTCTCTTCCAAGCCTACCTCAATCTCTTTCTCCTGGTCCTCAAACTTAGACAGATCAGGGGTCTTGAAGTTCCTGAGTTCCTCAATCTCAGCCCCTCTCCTAGCTTCATCCTCCTCACTCCCATCCAGGTTGCTCGGAGACTTGGCTCCCCCGTAGTTCCGGGGCAGAGTCTGTCCGTACCTCAAGTCTACCCCCTCAAACTGGTCTAGTTTTGCCTTCAAGTTGGAGGGTAGGGTGGAGGATCTGTAGTCTCCGTTTCTGACGGCTCCTTGCCATCTGATGTGAACGTGGTCATTTTATTTGGAACAGCTTTTATCTGCTCAAATCTAAGTTAAGAAAATACCATATTTGCGTAAGTTTGTGCCATATAGATGGGAGACAAGTCATGAATATTGAAATCTGTGGCGACTGGCGGATGCATATTCATAATGTTAAAATAGAGCACGACTATTATAACAGAGCACGACTATAACAGAGCACGACTAACAGTAACTAGACTCTATAAGTTGAAACTAGCGTATCTTTCTGGTCTAAAGACTTAAAGAGTAATTTCATGCTATAGTTCCTACCCTTTAATGACACTCTCCGCAGATTCGTCCCCTCTCTTGAACCCTTTCAAGTACATCAAACACAGAATATCTTCTTGTATGTTCCTTTTATCATCATCCAACGTGCCTTGACGAATGTTTGCTCCTGATAAGGCTTTAGCTTTGATCATCTGGAAACGCTTTCGTTTTAGCTTCACCGAATCTGGGAAGCAAGGGTTTTTAAATTTGTGGATTTTATCTATAGTACTGTATTCTGATATTCTTGAATTTATTTTGACGTTGTTGATTTCATATATTCTCTCGAATTTTCTGTACACCAATGACACTGCGACTAAAGGAACTAATGACAAATAAAACAATTACAAAGTAACAAAAATAGCCAATATTTCGGTACAGACGGTACCCTCTGCTGGGCTGAAATATGATTTACCTTATCGAACTAGGAATCGACCGGATTGGGGTTTTGGCTGCCGGACCGGATTCAGCCGGATTTGGATCTCAAATCCGGCAAGCCGGATTTTGCCGGACCGGAACCGGTGGTTTCAGAGTGAAATAAAAGGCAGCCGGATTTTGCCGGATTTAGCCGGATGTTGCCGGAAAATTTCCTTCCTTTCCACGCCTAATCTTCATCGAGCACTTCTTGCAGCTTGCATAAGGGATCCCATTTTCTTCTGAGTAGAACAACCAGACGGACGAAGTTTTAGATTTACTACTACTCGACTCGACTTAGGGCGGCTTCAACGTCCGAACAGATATAGTTTTTTTACAAATCTTCCTATCTACTACTAGTCGACATTGCTTAAACAAGCAGTACGTAGCAGACACAATGTAACACGAGTAGACACGAGTCACGACACTAGACGAGTAATAATTAGAAATGATATCTAATTGGCATATGCTGCCAGACCCCTGATTGAGCGCGTTTGTGCGAATTCCCTTTTTTTCATGCAAGTCTGAGTATCATTGGGTCACGTGACTTACAACCAGAGGTGCTTAATAAGGTTGTTCGTAAGCAGGCACTGTCTAGTACAGTACTACCTTATCGGACCTTATTTGGACGGACATTACTTGAACGGACATAATTTTAATGTCCGTTCATAATTATTAATTATGAACGGACATTAATATGAACGCTAGAAGGCAATCAAAACCATCAAAAGTCCGATTTTTTTCCATCTTTTTTTAAACGTTTTTTAAATTTTAGCAAATGATTTTTAAATCCATTTTTCATACAGTAAGCTTATCTGCGTTTTGCAGATAAGGTACGAAGGTACCTACAGGACTAGATTAGATACCGTCGGTCACATAACTAGGGAGATATCCCGGTTTGGATGAAAAAATGTTTGAAAAAAATTCAACGGACTTTAACTTGGACGGACATTAATTGAACGGACTTTATTTGAACGGACATTAAGATAAACGCTAGGCCCTCCAGCGTTCAAGTAATGTCCGTCCAAATAAGGTCCGATAAGGTAATCACCGTCTGGCGTCTAGAGCTGAGTCACATGATTGCAGTAATGAGCTAATTAAGTAGCTACCCAGACCCTGAACACGTGACCTTCATATTTCGTATTTCATAATCAGAAGATTAAATACTGCCAATTTTGCGATTATAGCCGGGGGCTAGCCCAGGGAGGTGGCCCAAAATATTTTCCGGTTTTTTCCGCACCTACCCCTCGATACACTATTCTGTATTCTGGTGGACTCAAGGTTTCCCCCGGTAATGCGATCTCGGAAGGCAGGCCTCCCCTTTGCAACACGAGCTCGGAAGCGGGAGCTCTCGATACAGGAGGTACGTCTCGAGAACGACTCGGACCGAAAAACTTCTAAGTCAAAATGTTTCAAAGTTTTTCTGAAAACCACTTTTTTCCACGATTCAGGCTACCCTGTTGGGTCCGGGACTCTAGGGCGTAAGACTCTAGGGCGTGAGACTTTAGGGCGGCGCCCTAACCCTAACCATCACCCTAACCCTAACCCTAACCCTAAGACCCTAGAGTCTTACGCCCTAGAGTCTTACGCCCTAGAGTCCGGACCCCTACCCTGTTCATTATTAGCCGAAAATATTTTTTTGGTTTTGCGAAGTCCGCACCTACCCATCGATACACAATTTTGGACTCGAGGTTTCCCCTGGTAATGTGATCTCGAAAGGCAGGCCTCCCCTTTGCAACACGAGCTCGGAAGCGGGAGCTCTCGATACAGGAGGTACGTCTCGAGAACGACTCGGACCGAAAAACTTCTAAGTCAAAATGTTTCAAAGTTTTTCTGAAAACCACTTTTTTCCACGATTCAGGCTACCCTGTTCATTATTAGCCGAAAATATTTTTTTGGTTTTTCGAAGTCCGCACCTACCCATCGATACACAATTCTGGACTCGAGAGGTTCCCCCGGTAATGTGATCTTGGAAGGCAGGCCTCCCCTTTGCAACACGAGCTCGGAAGCGGGAGCTCTCGATACAGGAGGTACGTGAACGTCTCGAGAACGACTCGGACCGAAAAACTTCTAAGTCAAAATTTTTTTAAAGTTTTTCTTAAAACCACTTTTTTTCCACGATTCAGGCTACCCTGTTCATTATTACTATTAGCCAAAAATATTTTTTTGATTTTTTTTCGGTAAAAAAAACTGAAATCCGGCAAAAATTCGGCAAATTTTTTTCCAGCCGGAGCCGGAACCGGAACCGGATTTTGAAGCCGGATATCCGGCCGGAACCGGATTCAGCTGGATTTCCGGTCGGTTCCTATATCGGACCTTATTTGGACGGACATTACTTGAACGCTGGAGGCCCTAGCGTTCATCTTAATGTCCGTTCAAATAAAGTCCGTTCAATTAAATTTAATGTCCGTCCAAGTTAAAGTCCGTTGAAATTTTTTCAAACATTTTTCCATTTCGAACTTTTTGTCCAGAATATGACAACTTTGAAAACTTGATTGTGCCGTAAGTTAACGATGGAAAGGTTCTCCTTGGTCTGCCGAGGCACAGAAAATTCTACTAGAATATGATGTTTTCAAGGGTCACTTGGCGGAAAAAAGTCAACGAAATTATGGCACTCAACAATATAGTTCATGAACTAGTCCCCGCCAACATGACAAACTTGTTCCAGCCTCTAGATATTACGGTAAATCGTGTTTCCAAGGACATTGTCCGACGTTGTTATAGTTCATATTACTCAGGGGAGGTAATGGAACAGTGCTAGGAAAGCTCCACGTGATGTTAAGGTTAACCTTAAGTTGTCTAAGATAAAACCACTTCACGCCGAATGGTTTGTAAAAGTTAACACTGAAATGCAGGACCGGGGTAGTTTGATAAAAAAGGTTTCCATAAAGCTAGAAATCACTGATGCTTTAAGCATGGACTATTTCATGCACGAAAACCCATTTGATGAAGATAATATGTGATATTAGACACTGATCATGTACATATATTTTAACATTTTTACTGCTCAATGACTGCTTTTCTTACTTACTGTAGAAAAAATGGATTTAAAAATCATTTGCTGAAATTTAAAAAACGTCAACAAAATTGAAAAAAATTCGGATTTTTGATGGTTTTGAATGCCTTCGAGCGTTCATATTAATGTCCGTCCATAATTATGTCCGTTCATGTAATGTCCGTCCAAATAAGGTCCGATAAGGTAGTCATAATCATATGTACACACTCGAAAGTGTGCCTCCACACCATATTCAATGATTTTATTTTCACACTGAATACCAACTGATAAACAACAAAACGAACCGTGAATGTCCTTGGAGTCGTCTATAGCATCCTCTCCAACTACGGCATCTATCATGCTCTCATAGTTCATCTTATACGTCTGTTCTAACACCGCCACCACTGGGCAAGGTAGCGCTCTAGCTCTAGCTTCTCTGCCTACAGCTGCAAATATTCGTTAGTTACTATACCATGATATTTAGTAGGGAACCGTTTATCTTAACGTGAATTAAATCACATCTAAGGGTGCAAATATTGGTTTGTCAGTATACTGATTACTGGACAAGGCAGCGCTCTCGCTCTAGCGTTTCTGCCTACAGCTGCAATCATTCGTTAGTTACTATAAGTATACCATGATATTTAATAGGGAAACGTTTAACTTAACGTGAATTAAACCACATATGAAACGGACGATTTCCCAGTCAAGAAAACGAATCAGAATTATGTCTGCCGCATAAGCTACGGCCTCGCAGATTTGTTGAATTTAAAGTAAAGAGCGATTACTTGCAGTCTTTCCTACACAACAGTTTTCAAACCTGATTAGCATTTAGCATTTGCGCCCAATTTGTTTGCCGACGCCCATAACGCTTGGTTTGGGAGGTGAACCTTATCTAATTGACCAATCAAAATAATTTAAAATCGCTGTCACATGTCATAACAATTTTCACACCAGATTCGCATAAACGACGCCCAATTTGTTTACCGACGCCTAATTTGTTTGCCGAGGCCCAAAATGAATGTTATTACAATTTGGATTGCTTTGGGTAATTAACAAATCAGCTTCTAGCTTATATTAACCAATCCAAATCCAAATCCAAAATCGCAGTCACATGTCGCAGTCACACGTCAAATCGCAGTCACATGTCAAATATGGTTCATCTCCCCACCAAAATCTAAATCTATTTGGCCCACCTAGGATAGTTCCGAGGACCATTTTAACGCTCTTCTTGTCCACCAAGTCGCTCACGTCCATCAGACTGAGCTCTGGTATCCCGAACTTCCTGCACCAGATTATGTAAACCTCCACGTTGTGTCTGACAAAGGTCCTCCCTCGGTCCGTGTGGTTTGACATGTTTATCTGGGATCAGAGGGTTTGCTATAAATCATTGCTTAACTTGAGAATTAATTAATTATTTAATTATGATTATAATTTAATCAGCGACTTTTCAAGATATTAAAGATATTAAGACATTAGGAACCTGCTTATAGGTAACATGTGTTGTTAGTTACCGGTTCTAGCGCAGGATCATTACAGAGTTTGTTCATGGAGTTACAGAAGTCACACAGCAACACTCCACTCCACAGCTTATCAAAGAACTTCTCCCATGGTACTTTCCGTCCTGCAAATATCGTGCATACAGATAACAAGATAATATTTGATTTTTTCAGGCTTTTAAGGGCTAATATAATTGTTCATAACTCTGATATCGTCGTAATAGTGATACTCTGACACTGTTGTAAAAGTAATGATGGTTAATTTAGATTCATGGTTCAGACCGTAAGGAGTGCTAATTTTCACTTCCGATTCAAGATTAAAGGAATTTGAACCAGTTAATACTTAAGGGTCAAATTGCTTTCAAATGTACAAAATAAGTACTCGTGGTAGACTAGTGATAGTTTATATACAATATACATTATACATCTCCAGCTCTCTTTTCTTCCACAATCCACATTTGTTCTTCACAACGATTAAATAAAATCCACGTATCCCGCTGTACGGAACTCATCAAACAGTTGAGAATAATGATCGACCTCATTGGTACATTCGACTGGTAAATAAGCGGCGGTTATCAATGGACGGGATGAGTCTTAATACCGTACCAATCCTGAGTATTATTGTAAACGAGAGTAATTGTAAACAATAGTATTAGTACAGATCAGTTTGTGCCCTTGAAGTAGTTTTATGCATCATATGTGATATAACCTTGTATACTTTTTGCCGTTGACTTTGTTTTTTACCTGTGATATAACCGAGCCAATCTGCCAAATCAATGATAAGCGGAGTGTATCGTGAGTCAATGAGATCGTCCCAAGAGATATCATCACTGTCCAAATCACTGTTAGAGCCGGAGGACGAAGAAGAGCTTGAAACCTTCTTCTTTCTCCCGAATTTCTTTCTCTTCTTCAGCGACTTTCTATCTTTACCAGCGACAGGTGCAGGTGCTGGAGCTGTGGTCTGCTCTAAATATCTCTGTTTAGTATCATCAAGTCTGTTCGGTGAAGTTGGTCTAATCTCCTGACTAGCCCTCCCTGCAGAGCTCAGATCATTCTGATGCAGATTTCCATGTTCGAACCTCCGTCTTGCCTCCTTAGGATCTATAGTCTCTCTGACAATGTTATCCTCGTCAAGTTCAGGATAGTCTCTAAAGGTATCTTGGACCCTTCCTCGTTCCTTGGTTCTACGTCCCATCACCTCATCTTAATCGCTGGATATTTTACATAATGTACTTCTCAACCAAATTAGATACAACTGTGAACACGTAGACAACAACTAAAAGTCTCCAGCAGGAATAGCAGAAGTTAACAGACTGAGAATGTTAGTGTTTTAATGTGCAGGGCTCTGCATGTGCACTTAACAAAGGTACCAGTTTCCCATTAGCTAGCTTCATTCCCGGCCCATGGATGGGCGAGGAGAACAATTTAGGGGTTCATAATTATCATGTAGATATGAATTGAATCCTCTGACGATATTGTACCCGTACTTATTGCAAGAATCAATTATTTATCAATTAGTTCTAATTCGTAAGCTAAGGCAGGTACTACTTTGGGTAGAAAGGATATCCAATTAAGCTAATAATAAATTCAAATCTAAAGGATGGCAAATCACAATAAAATTAGAGATTAAGGGGAAGTGTATTTTTCTTGATGGTCGATAAATAGTGTAAGCCAAAAACTAATAATTGCTTAAAATCGTGGATGATTAATGAGATCACGCTACGATATACAGTAAAACCCCGATTTACCGTAGAGTTTGGGGGAAAGGAAACATCCGCGGTAAATCGGGGTCCGCGGTAAATCGGGGTTTTGTTTGGTTTACATAATGTATGTTTAGCCCTATTATATATATATTTGGGGAAAAGGAAATGGCGGCGGTATATCGGGGTTTGCAGTAAATCAAGGCGCGGTATATCGAGGTTTTACTGTAACTGAATTGTTCATAATTCACGCCTGTTCTGGACTGAATATCCTGCTCCAGGGTTGGATCCTGGTGGACAAGATCAGTTTTTCCCAAATGTAGCCTTGCATCGCTTGCATCAGCGCTTGGATACTACAGTCAATCAATTAGTGATAATTATCATGTTACTTCTAATCAATGATATTGAATAACTTTCTCATCTCAATCCATAGTTGCCATATTGATACTTTCCAGGTGCTCTCTGCTCGTCAAGTGAACGATTTTTATGAATAAATCGTTCTTATTTTCTGTGTTAAATCCCAAATAAAGTGTCTCAGGTATCAAATCAATTTCCGGGTAGGGGATTCCGATCGCTTTGAACCGTTTCCAAGTCTCTAAGAGATAACGAAACTCTAAATAATTGAAAATAATTTCTTCATTTTTCCGAGTAAGATCTCCTTCGTTCTGCTTATGATATCCACAGAACAGTTTTTTCATGGAATCAGTTTTAATGCCAAGATACGTATCGGTATCCCGAGTGTCAGTTAAAATCAAGTTGAACATAAAGTCGCACGTTATGATAACAGGATGTTTGGGAGCATAATTCTTAGCTCTAGGAGGCAGCCTGAAAACAAAGCTATACCTGGAGCCAACTCCTGGTTCCGAACCCTCTCCCACTGAGTGTGGAACATCCTGTCCCTCAACAAAGTTTATTGTCAGTGTCCTACCCATGATAGTCTCAACAGTTCGTCGGTCAATGACCTGACCAGCCCAAATAACAGCCACTTCCAACCCCCTGTCCCCATCCCTCTCTCCTCTGACACTTCTCTCAATAACCTCCACGTCAGGGTAGCAGATATCTGATACCTTGTCACTGGAGCTGGAGTTTGAACCGGAGCTAGTCTCAGGGGACCGGTCACGTGGTAAAGATCTGCTCTGTTTTGAGAGACGTTTTCTTCGGGGCATGTCTTCTCAGTCTCATCACCTGCTAACGGTTATTTAAATTGAGTATTGACATCTTTTCCTTTTGTTTGGAAAAAAGAGACATTGGTGACGGTCCACTCTACTCAATTTTGGGTTTTGGTTAAAATGTTATAATATAAATCCATGCTTTGATATGATATATTAGCATCCGCTATGACTGGACTATCCAATTTAAACCGACATGATACAGTTTCCAGATGAATCAATGAACGGGCGGGTTTCTAATATAATCCAATGTCTTAAATATATCGTTAACAGTCTTTCAGTTTAGGCATTAAATCTGTAATTCCACGCTTTTTTGATCTCTGCCTAATAGGCAATGCATATCGCTTACTAATGTGGCCCTCGAAAAAAACAAGCTCGACAATTCTTCCATTTAAAGAAAGGAAGCTAAAAAATCAAAAAATACAAGCAATGTACTACCATGAACAACAGAACAAATACAACACATCACGGTAAATATGTAATCTATCTCGTCATTGATATCATTATTCTCATCAAAGTGTTATTCTCGTATTATGTGATGATTATTGTGCTGGATGAGCCATTGTGTCCAGCTTCAGACAGACCGCAACACGAAACATATCAATTAATTAATACATTTCAAAGCAAAAAAAGATTTTTGAGAACAGAAATGTGGACAAAACGAATCAAGACAGCTCTATAATAATATGTGTAAGAATATCTAGAGATGATTCACGTGGTCCAGATGATAACTACTTTCGCTTTTGGATTTTCGTCCGTCCGTATGCTATTGTTGGCCGCTCCTCTATGATTTGATGTAAATCTCATAAAATACACTTCTCATTCGCAGATTTCATAATATTAATCAAATAATCTCTAATCAAATTCTCCATAATAAACGCCGTCAATACAAGGGCGTGCTTCCTTTCCTACGACACTCTCTGCAGAAATGCTGTGAGCAGTGTGCAGTAGCATTTTATTATTATATGCAGCGCCGCATATTTTACTATACATGCATACCAAGATATAAGGAGGTAAATATTCGAGTATTTAAATTACTGAAGATATGACACTGCACCTTTATTGTCCGCTAATACAATAGTACGATAGTGCAGATTTCCTGAAGTGTCCTGTAAGTATACAATTAAAATCACCGTGTTATACAGTATACATTGTATATTTACTGATATCTGTCTGCACTCTGCAATTGAACATGTTAGTTCCACCACTGCCTACTGGGCTAAGTTATTAATTATTCTACTCTTCCATACTATATATTTTTTTTATTTCAAAATTCAAATAAACTTTACATCAATGTATTACAGTTATATTCAATAAAAAAGACCACAATATCTCCTGTGAAGCAAAAACATGGCAAAAGAGAGCTAGAAAACTATTCATGATACTCAACACTACCAGACTCAGCTGGAGTGAGAAACAATATGTAAAAACATCAAAGTAAAATTTATTTCGGCTGAACCAAAACACGGTGGTAAGACCATAATTACATTGGTATATATACCTATATACCTCCAGTTTAATTTAAACAGCTACTTAACACAGTAACTTTAAAAACATTCGTCTCCTAACCAAATGTGCGCCTAATTTCCAAGACTAGTGGTGGTAGCATCTTCCCTATCCACTGAATCTCTTATCGTGCAACGGTTTATAACAACAAAGCCTGGGATCCTACGTGATCTATAAAATACTGATGTCAAGTTTAAGGTCGTCAAATTTGGAATACAAACCTGAGCGCTGGAAAAATATATCACTAAAAGTCATAGTTGTTAAGTTCGTCGAAGAAATGCGAAAAGTTCGTCCAGTTCGGCACCTTTTAAAAATTCGTGAAAATTCGTGAAAATTCGTTGCGTAAATTTTCTTGGCATATGTTTTGATTTTATAATGAATGGCTTAGGTGCGATCACTATTACACTTGTAAACAAATGATACAGTTAGATAGTTATACATACTTGTATTGAAAAAAAACTAGATCAACAACAGATCATGATTAGTACTTCAATATAAACAGAGCTGGTTCACAGATTACAATTAAGCATCAATTATAGCAACAGCTCACAACTTATCATTGTTATCTAAATAATCTATAGCATATGTGATCTTAGTGATCTTAGTGCCAGCACTAGTGCTCTCTGTCCAGATTGCTGATTCGCTAGCTATGTCGTTCAGAAGCTTTAAGTTGGAGTGAACGTAAACCAGCTTTCTGGCCTTTTCTGTTCTTAGTTTATTTCTCCTTTTCGAGTACACATATTCAAACTGGCTCCAATTTGTTTCGCAGGCACTGGCGCTCCGCGCTCGTGACCTGGCTGAACAAGATAATAGTCAACTTCTGAATTACTGGGGTCTCAGAACCGTACAATTGCCAATATTTAACAGGCTGATTATGGAACTTGGCAACCTCTGGCCTACTAAAGAGACCTCTACGTTAAAGTTCGGTTAAAGTTCGTCTATTTCGTTAAAATATTCGTCCAGTTCGGCACCTTTTTAAAGTTCGTCCAGGACGTCCGTAACAACTATGCTAAAAGTGTTTATTAGCTGCCGTCTCAACTCTCTATTTCAATATGAAGTTGCTTAATCACTCAATTGTTCTAAACAACTTCCGGACAAGTTTTTCTCATTGCCAAGTTTAATGACCGGCAAAAAAATTATCAATTGCATCAACTTATCTAAGGTTTACATCAAAATGTGACGATGGTTAAAGCAGATTATATGGCTTACCTTCTCTCAGGCTTCATCTTGTAGTTTTGCAGGCACTAGCTGCACGGTTTTATTGTCATGTTAATGTGTTGTTGCTCGTATTTTACATTGGATTGTTTCCGTTCATGGTCAATGGTGTCATACGCCCATGGGTAGAGAGAAGAGATAAATCTTGCCTGATGCTGCGCTTTAATAATTTTGTCACCATGACCGGCGAGATAATGCGCCTCATTCATCGTATATTTAGAAGGAAAAACCGTGCACATTATTTATGTCAAACATCATTTATGTCAAACATCATGACAATAAATGGTAACCTAAAATAATTAAACCAATCTTTATCTTACATAACCTTACATGGATTTCCATCTAAGCTATGGTTTTATCATGTCAGTATATTATATATAATATACGATGATTATATATAATATATAGGTTTTTATCAGTGTACAGTATACTCCGGAATCACGACTACAGAGAAATTAAATCTTTTACAGTTACTTTTCCATTCGTTGTGGTATACATATGTATTGCTATAGCCTATCTGCTAGTTTACACTTTTAAAGTTCTAACAACACAAGTTATCAGTTAAACGACCATTAACGTCGGTCCTCAGTGGTTGATATTTACTTTACATACGTTAGTTACTATAAAAAGCATTGTTCTGTTTTCCTGAAGCTTATCTCATTTAAACTATAGCCTTTATATATTATTATACATAGTTATACTGTTGGACTTTACTCCGGTAAACACGTTTATTGTTTACTTGAGCTGAATTGTTAAGCTACTCAGGGTGAACACTGGACATGGCAAATGGTTGTGGATAATGGAAAAGTTATGAGAGGACCAGAACGAATAATATCAACTACCAACTAACCTCATTGTAAGTGTCCAAGTTTTTATATATTTATCTTAGTTTAGGAGTTTGAAGCTTTCCCAAAAATTACTGTCGACAAAGATTTAAATATGACTTAAATAGCTGTCAGATAATCGTCATGTTCTATTTACGAGTCTGTTCTCATGTTTAAGTCTCTTTCTCTCATTACTCCAGACCTGTTAATGAATTCTCAGTTTACCAATACCTCGAATATATGAGAACATTGAGATGGATGCAAAAGATGGTCCAGCATATCTCCGTTTGGCAGTCTGCTAACTAAACCAGACTGTGTAATTATGCAGGGAACTCCTGAATTAGCTACAAGATTAGGCTAATGTTACTAACAACCGACCTTAGCACTTTAAATCTGGGCTCGCTTATAAATGCAACAGTTAGACATCCAGCCAAGCTGCCAACCACATCCTGTTGAGAGCTCACTAAAATATTGTAGTATATTTTGCTGAGCTCATCTAACATCCTGTCAACCATGCAGAAGTCCGCATCTTCTGATGCTCCTCAAGAGAAGGAGAATATGTCCAAGTTTGGTAGGAGTAAGAACCTACAGAACCCCTCTTCCAGCTCCACAAAGTCAACTGATATCATTAAAGTGGAAATCGATAACCGCAATAAGTGGCAGGTTTGTGTTATCTCATGTGTTATCTCATGTGTTATCTCATGTGTTATCTCATGTGTTATCTCATGTGTTATCTCATGTGTTATCTCATGTGTTATCTCATGTGTTATCTCATGTGTTATCTCATGTGTTATCTCATGTGTTATCTCATGTGTTATCTCATGTGTTATCTCATGTGTTATCTCATGTGTTATCTCATGTGTTATCTCATGTGTTATCTCATGTGTTATCTCATGTGTTATCTCATGTGTTATCTCATGTGTTATCTCATGTGTTATCTCATGTGTTATCTCATGTGTTATCTCATGTGTTATCTCATGTTTTATCTCATGTGATATCTCATGTGTTATCTCATGTGTTATCTCATGTGTTATCTCATGTGTTATCTCATGTGTTATCTCATGTGTTATCTCATGTGTTATCTCATGTGTTACTACTTGTTTTTATTACTCCCCAACCTAGCTACAAATCTCAATACTAGCTCCATTAAAGGAGGAAGTTAAACGTTTAATGTTCTCTTCGTCCACCAGTCACCACCAAGCCAATAAAATATCTGAATACATTACCCAGTTAAATTTCAGGGGGCCTACTACATGCACATGAAACAGAATGGAGGAGGGAAGCTGAGCAACAAACAGTCATCCATTATTACCCCACGGATCGCTGACATCACCAACACAGTTGTTAAAAACAAGGTAAGGGTTTTAGTTCCTTACCTCGCCAGTTCGTTTGTTTGTTTGCTGAATAGTATAGTTCCTTAGTTCCTTACCTCGCCTGTTCGTTTGTTTGTTTGCTGAATAGTATAGTTCCTTAGTTCCTTACCTCGCCAGTTCGTTTGTTTGTTTGCTGAATAGTATAGTTCCTTAGTTCCTTACCTCGCCAGTTCGTTTGTTTGTTTGCTGAATAGTATAGTTCCTTAGTTCCTTACCTCGCCAGTTCGTTTGTTTGTTTGCTGAATAGTATAGTTCCTTAGTTCCTTACCTCGCCAGTTCGTTTGTTTGTTTGCTGAATAGTATAGTTCCTTAGTTCCTTACCTCGCCAGTTCGTTTGTTTGTTTGCTGAATAGTATAGTTCCTTAGTTCCTTACCTCGCCAGTTCGTTTGTTTGTTTGCTGAATAGTATAGTTCCTTAGTTCCTTACCTCGCCAGTTCGTTTGTTTGTTTGCTGAATAGTATAGTTCCTTAGTTCCTTACCTCGCCAGTTCGTTTGTTTGTTTGCTGAATAGTATAGTTCCTTAGTTCCTTACCTCGCCAGTTCGTTTGTTTGTTTGCTGAATAGTATAGTTCCTTAGTTCCTTACCTCGCCAGTTCGTTTGTTTGTTTGCTGAATAGTATAGTTCCTTAGTTCCTTACCTCGCCAGTTCGTTTGTTTGTTTGCTGAATAGTATAGTTCCTTAGTTCCTTACCTCGCCAGTTCGTTTGTTTGTTTGCTGAATAGTATAGTTCCTTAGTTCCTTACCTCGCCAGTTCGTTTGTTTGTTTGCTGAATAGTATAGTTCCTTAGTTCCTTACCTCGCCAGTTCGTTTGTTTGTTTGCTGAATAATATAGTTCCTTAGTTCCTTACCTCGCCAGTTCGTTTGTTTGTTTGCTGAATAGTATAGTTCCTTAGTTCCTTACCTCGCCAGTTCGTTTGTTTGTTTGCTGAATAGTATACCAAACACTGGTTTCTGATTTTCCTATTTTATTCATCTCAACTAGTTGCACTGTGGAGGAACCACTTGCCACGTGTACGTATAACACTGCTAACCGATCTAATACCGCTATTGTATCAGGTATAAGTATACAGGTATAATGGGCTCTCTTTTCAATACTTGCAACCGTGCAGGTTTTACTTTTGTCCCTGCTGTATTGCTCGATTTGCAAACGCAGTGAAGCTTAGTGTTATGGCAGACTTTATTTCGACTGAAAAATAGATTAAACTTATAGCATAAGATTGATTTGACGAAGCTGATTGTTTTAATTCCCCTTCAATATTAGCTCTTCTCTTCCACTACGGCCTAATTGATTCGATATCCAGCAATTCCATGCTGTCTCTATCTTCAACCCGGTGATTGTTGTTACTCATTCATTTATTCATCGGAAAAATTATGCAATAGACATTGAATATTGCATAACCAACAGGACAACAGGATTGTGAATCATTCAGATCGGGCTGTGTCTATCCGAAGGAAATAATCCAGACCAAATTTCCTCTCGTAGGTTTGACAGGGTTACTTCATTCAGTACACTATGATAAGTGGACTTTATCACTCATGTTATGTTATCCATGGATTTCATGTACGTGTTCTCCATGTTCTCCACACATAATAATTTCCGCCAGTAATCATTGCTGTAACCAACTTAAATTGCATTAGCTGTACAGGTTTAGATTATCTTCATGTTTAAGCAGGAAGTTCATCTCTTTAATGATTTACGCAAAATCTGCGTAGCTACCCTCCTCTGGCTCCGTCTACAAGCATGCTATTCCGTTTACGTTCGTTCTCGATCGTTATTGAAGTATTGATATTCATCTCCCTCATGGATTATGCTCGATTTTAACTCACCTCTTACTTTCACCTCTTACTTTACCTAAAACTTGTTGATTTTCAACCCGTTTCGGCTATCATCTATATTTCTATAGGTGGCAGACACCGGGCTGTTCCACTAATCGAAATTTACCTTTTGATGACCTGTGTAACTTCTGCTAGGAATGAGTAATCCTACTTAGAGTTAGGTCCTAATATTTAACTCATCGTAATGAACAAGGTGGCTTCCAGCCAAGATAATCAATATTCAGTGAGCTCTTGGTAACAGTAAGGGGAAACATCCGACACAAAGACATTGTGATCTGCAATTGTTTTAACTTCAATAATAGTAACAAAAGATACCTAATAAGATGTGTATGTGTTAGTTCCTTTTCACTGCTTTGTGACTTCATGATTTCATGATAGTTCATATCCAGGATCAGTGATCCTTGATTCTGGATTACTTTAGTTATCCAGCAAAGTTCGTCAAAGCTTCCTTCGTTCAGCATCATCTCTTTATTTTCTTGTCAACAAAATCATGGTGTTATCAGATGGGGCAACAAGATCTGGGTAAATTGTATCTAATTAGAAACTGCAACTATTTACATTTACAGCTCACTTATTTTTACTTTTTCTATTAAGTTTTGATCAACCAGTATTTGATAATGAACCAGGTAACTTGCAACTCATGGTTAGTTTGGAGATTGGCTGTAAGCCGAGATTAAATGATATTTTAGCTAAAACTCATGACAACGATCATTCCAAAGAAGTAAGCTATCAAAGGTTGTTGATAGTTTAGTAAAATATAATCATATTTTTATTAAAGCTTATTTTTTCTAGCCTGCCAAAAGTCACGCGGTGCTCGTCTAAATCACTCCACCATCCAATCGCCAGAGATCCCATAGTTTAATGACTAAGGAGTAGTCTGGATTTGTTGCTTACCTTTAGAAACTGCAACTATTTACAGCTCACTTATTTTTATTTTTACTTTTTTAATCAAACAGTATTAGATAATGAGCTGGAGTAACTGCAACTGGTTAGTTCGATCATTCCATTGCTGATGCACCCAGCACCAGAGATTGGTTACACTTATGTTTGTCTTGAATCAAGAAGCAAACTTTCTAATAGGTTCCTGATAGTTGACTGCCGGTCATGTTTTTGATCAAATCAAATCTATCATTCTATTCACACTGTTTTTCCGAAAAAACATATTCATATTTTTTCTAGCATATAAATTAGCCAAGGGGCCGGGCACGGTGTTCGTCCAATCGCTCCACGCTCGAATCGCCAGAATCTCCACAGTTCAAGGAGTAGTCTGGATCTGTTTCCTCTAGATTTGTGGCCACCACTAATAATGACAGTAAGATTTAAGAGATGTGACAACTGGCCACCATGTTCCAACATGTAGCCAGTAGCCACACCTAAGTGGGAGAAACAACATAAAATAAGAGAGAATTATAAACAAGATTATTATACTAATGTTATTATAATTAATAATAAGAAAACAACTTGACAAGCATAGTAATTCTAGTAAGCTTCAGAATTTCGGATCCACGTTCCTGTTTTAATTTCGGCTGTGTGATCTGCTGCAGTTAATTTCACTTCGTTTCATTCGGTGATTGAAATAACATTTAATTTACTGATGTCCTTGCTTTTATGGCATTTTCCTGATATTTCGTAGACCTGTCGACAAGGAAAATCAAAAAAATTAAGACCGTTTATATACAGGGTGGGCCAAAAGTCAGTACCCATACGTTGGGTCTTATAGCTCCGCTGTGTTTTATATTTGAGAGTTGTTGCTTTGCAGATGGCATACTGTACCTACTTGTTCGAGGATTCCGTCGCCAAAATTTGAAAATTCGAATATTTTAAACCACGCCCATTCAATATTAAAACATCTATATTGTTCTCTCTGAACATGCTGGACGCCTAATTTTTTCGGAGACGGTAGATTATTAAATGTTGCATCTGATCTGAAAAAATAATGTGAAACGGATTTGAAATGACGAAGTTATAAAGCATTTTGTGTATCTCGTTAACAAAATTGACTGGGTGATTATGTGACACCGTGACACGACACCTTAATTGGGCAGCCTTAACGATTCCCATAATGTTTAACGGGTTGGTTAACAGGGTCACCTTATCACGTGATTAGGTAAGCCAATCACCTGATCACACGTAATGAATAAACTCGTTATGCTTCGTATCTCGGTGATCTGAGAAGCTATAAAACTCTCATTTTTTCAGGACAAACGTAATTCGAATGGCCAAACACAATTCAATAAAATTTGGCTCGATCCGACTATCCAAACTATGAAATAAATGCGAAAATGAACCTTAATTTTTTTTAAATGAACACGAATATTTTTCGATTTGACAAATTCCTCGAACCAGTGGTGGTATTAAATCATACCACAAAGAATTATTTCAATTGGGCACTCAGTGACTGCGCTATTAAGGCCAATGTATGGGTACTGACTTTTGGCCCACCCTGTATATTAAGACGGATTAATTTACTCGTTAAAATGATTATCCAGTTTCAGTACAACTGATTCATGGCAGTTCACGGAATGAGAGTGGACACAGCACGTGTCACGTGACACAACAGGTGTCACGTGACACAGCACGTGTCACGTGACACAGCACGTGACACAACACACATGTTCTTTCACAAAATCTCAATCTAGCCAGGGGATGTAAAATGTTCCCAATGATCACATTTGTACACTATGTGTATGAAGCAACAGTGCTATTAAATACTAACTGTATAACTGTTTATGAGAGTGTTTTCAACTGAACGTCACCTCCCCAGTCTCCACCAACAGCCTAGTACTCTAGTAGTATAACTATAACTGGATTCAGGAGTTGCATCTGCACTCGATATCTGTGTTTTGGTGACCCACAAGTCGCTTGATTACATACATTATAGTCGAAGTCGCGACCTGAAGAGGACCGGGGCGTGTGCTTTTTGAATGGTCTATTATGATGTTAGTAACAATCATCTATTCATGAATATAATATTGTTTATTATTCGCAGAGGAATTAGCGATGATTTGCGTAATCAAAGCCATGTTTGTGATAGCGCACACTACTTATTTATGTTTTTGAATCGGCAGTGTTTATTTTTACACGTACTATGCGAAGTTTTCACGCCTCCTGTTTACTGTTTAGTCGTGTTGGTTAAAATTACGCTGTACTAAAGTTGCTTTCTAAGAAAACTCACCTTCTTGATTAGGAAAAGGATACACTAATTACACCCCAGTTCCATGGCCGGATATTATGCCAAATTATAAGACGGAGATCGTCTACTGATATTTCTCCGGATATTTCTCCGGTTTGCAGTTCCACGACCGGAGACCATCTACGGTAATTTTGTTGATTCTGTATGATTCTGTATGAATAAATCACCGAGAAATTCCCGGAGAGCTATAATACAGTAGACGGAGCCGGAGAATCATCTCTGGAGATGATCTACGGGAAATGGACCTCCGTCTAATAATTTGGCATAATATCCGGCCATGGAACTGGGGTGTAAGATTAATCGGTTTCGATATTCGCTGGTTCAAAGATCTTTCAGTAACCATGATCAGTGTCTATTGAAAACAAACGATCGTGATGTTTTTATCACTTTTCCGAGAGTTCGCGATTATTTTACACAGACGATTTTCACTAGTGAAGTAGTGATTATCATATTAATTGTGTACAGTGTGCAAAGGAAGCATTTATATCGCCTTTATTATCAGTTAATGATTTTATTACTGTGAGTGTAATACCGATTACCGGAAATAAAACGTGAGATCCGGGTGTAAAGTGTAGCCACCAAATTCTTCATGAAGTTGCAGTCTCAATTAACGAATCTAACAACTGCGAACAGTCCAATGACATAATGTTAGCAGCTCGTATATTTAGTCGTAACGTTCTTATGCAGACATCCACCAGGAGGAAACTGATAAACAGTTACCAGCCATATTGATGTTACAAGCTTACCAGTAACCAGTAAGTTTCCAGTTATACAGGGTGTTTCAAAAGCCTTGCAAGGATTTGCTTTTCTGAATAAATTTGTATCCATTTGTCTCAGCTTGATTCTGTACAATTCATCGGTGTTAAATAATGTCACTTTCAATTTAACAGTTAAACCGCTAAATATTTTCTCGCAGTCGAGCCTAATCGTGCACTGCAGTGCAAACATCGTTAACACTCCATCATGACACCCACTGCAGCTGTTTAATTACGTGATGTAAGCTTGCAATAAGAACTGCTGTTAATTGAGCAGTAACTGTCAGGAGTGATCCTGCCTTTATTCCACTTTGTTGGATGATCAGTTGCTATGATCAAACTTATATTAATTCTAATAGAGTTTCTGATGTTTCAATTGTGCACCAGCGCCCTGGTGGCTGGTAGACTGCTTTGAACCCTAGTTTCATTTTAACCAGCTCCCGACCTCTACACGTGAGAAATCGGACGGTTTAGACCTGTGATGCTCTAATACTCTAATAGTAAGTATTGTGAGGAATGGGAGAATGATGTGAGAATGATGCTGGAGTTCGTAGTGAAAATGGAATTCCCATGTGAAATTAAAGTGCTTCAGCTATTTGCTGGATAACGGATGTAACCACATTTTATAGTTTCAAGGTTTTACCAACCACAAATTACAAGCTCACAGCTCAATAACGACTAGCGTCGTTTAGTGGTTTATATAATATATAGTGGTGTATGTAGGTAGTGGTAGCGTCGTTTAGTGGTTTATATTATATAGGTCTTATCAGCAAATCAGTAATCTGTAAGGGACAGAAGTGATTTATATAATAAACAAGACAGCAACTCGGTAATTTATCGTCCACTTCCACATCAGATTAGCAAATATTTTCTTTCATCATAACAGATTATTGACAGATTTTACATTTCAGTTGCAAGGTGAACTGCGAGGGGTGAGTACAACATCTAAATTGATTTTCTTATACATACATTTGCTAATTTGTGATTTGCTGACTATTGATTGGTTGAGCCTTGAGGCAGATAGGGGAGTTGCTGATGAATTACATACAGGGTGTTCACTGTTCACGATACATTACATTCGTAAAGAGCCATCCGAATCAGCTATATTTTACGCTCATTTTTTTGTAATTCGATTACAATCATGTCACAACCAGTCCAGATATCAAAAAGGTTACACAATTCTCAACATCCTGAGGGCAATGTTTCTGCCAGAACTAATTTGGAAACCATACTAATGTTTGGTGAACAAGGTGTATATAACAATGCTCTGGTTGATTCAATAGCCGGAGTTCATCGTATTGTTTCATTGTTTCAACTTTCGTGCCAACTATGGAGATTTGCATTTGGCAAACAAAAAATATATACAAGGTTAAACTTAAGAATAGTTTGAAATTCTACCTTGTAAGCCTGGTAGAAATATTTGAAATGGTTGAGACTAGATAAAATGAAGATGGATGATCAGATGATGTCTCATCCGATGCTTGCGCTTCGTAAAAAGTAGTCATCGATCTGATTCTTTTGTCCACAAGATGAGATAAGCCTCACTAAATATCAGTGCTGTCTAATGTCTTCAAGATCACGTCATGTTGATGATTCCAGGGATAATATCCGGTAGTAGAGACTAGGTAGGACAAGTGAAACTACTGTTTAGGAGGAAACGCGAGCTTTTCCTCCTAAACAGTAGTTTCACTTGTCCTATCTAGTCTCTACTACCGGATATTATCCCTGGAATCATTATCTTGAGACTGATAAACAGCGAACCTCTCCAGGACTCACGTCATGTTGTTCAATGAGGCAGAATATAATACTTACTTTGGTTACTTTGGTGTGCTTCATAGAATCCTCTATCGGGTCATCAGAGTTGCTGCCACCCCGTACAGCGAGATCGCTGCCTTTATTCCAGTCCAGTCCAGTAAAGAGTTTCCATTTCGACAGCTGTATCCTGCCACTAGAGGCTCATCCGGGAATGATTTCACAAACGTTGCAAGCATTTCTTTAAACTTTTAAAGTGCAGGGGATCTTCGATAGTATGCATGTTTGGTGGGATTAAGTTCCACAATCGAGATCCAATTACTACAAACGAATTGTCGTAGAGCGTTTGGTTGCGCTGACTGCTAGATTAATTCAAAGTGAGAATAGCTGCCTTTTAGCTTCTGATGAGAGATTTGTAAAGGGTCAGCATGGTGACTTTGTTCCTCGTTTTAAACGCACTCAGGGTACCGCGCGACAATTGACCCCCGACAATTGAACCCCCGACAATTGAGCCCCTATATAATTACAATAAGGTAAATTGTCGCGAAATCTAGGGTTTAGTACGACAATTGACCCCCGACAATTGACCCCCCGACAGTTGACCCCCCGACAATTGACCCCCTATGTAATTACACTGGGGTCAATGGTCGCGAAATCTAGGACTTAGTACGACAATTGACCCCCCGACAATTGACCCCCCCCCCCCCCCGACAATTGACCCCCGACAATTGACCCCCATGTAATTATACTGGGGTCAATTGATCGGGTTAGGGTCAGGGTCCTGGGTCAAGGTCCTGGGTCAGGGTCCTGGGTCAGGGTTCTGGGTCAGGGTCTTGGGTCAGGGTCTTGGGTCCTGGGTCCTGGGTCCTGGGTCCTGGGTCCTGGGTCCTGGGTCCTGGGTCCTGGGTCCTGGGTCCTGGGTCCTGGGTCCTGGGTCCTGGGTCCTGGGTCCTGGGTCCTGGGTCCTGGGTCCTGGGTCCTGGGTCCTGGGTCCTGGGTCCTGGGTCAGGGTCAGGGTCAGGGTCAGGGTCAGGGTTAATTGTATTAAATTATATTGTCGGGGGGTCAATTTTCGGGGGGTCAATTGTCGGAGGGTCAATTGTCGGGGGGGTCAATTGTCGGAGGGTCAATTGTCGGGGGTCAATTGTCACCCACCCGCACTCAGAACCCAAGCAGCAACTTTACGAGCACGTTCGGCTATAAGGGTAACGTGGGGACTCCAGGATAAGTTAGCTGAAACCGTCACCCCTAAATCTTGAACCACTTTGGAACTGGAAGGGTATAACATGTTACTGTCTGAGACTTGGTATACTTGGGTTAGGATGGCAAATGGCTTGTGTAGCAAGGTGTTTTGAGGACAATGTTTGTGGACAAGTAGCTCAAATTTATCCTCGTGAAGTGCCATGTTGTTGCATTTTGCCCACTAAACGACACAGTTGAGATCATGCTGTAATATCTCAGCATCTGCTAGACTATATATGTGCCGTAGAATTCGGGAATCATCTGCAAAGAACCTGATGATTGATCTGGTGACACACAACTGTATGTCGTTGATAAAAAGTATAAAAAGCAACGACCCCAAAACAGTTCATTGAGGCACTCTGCTAAGGATTACAGCAGCAAGTGATGACACTCCATTCAGTACTACACACTGCTTGCGGTTAGTCAAGAAGGATCCGATCCATTTTACCAGCTTTTCGTGGAACCCCATCCGTTTCATTTTCAGAAGAAGCAACCGGTGGTCAATTTATCAAAAGCTTTCGCGAAGTCCAGGTAGATGGCGTCCGTGTCAGCATTGTTAACCAAGATCACAGAGGTGCCGAATGTAATAACTATGAGCGATTTATAATAGACCATAGCAAAAACTTCCCTGTACTTACTTACAAACTTGTACTTGATTAGGTCTCCTCAATCATTCCAGTAGCCTGCACCAATGAACTCCCGTATGTGTCGTATCATCTCTGTCGTAAAGTTGCCCTGAAATTAGAATAATCTAATTATAATAATTGGTGTTACGATTGTTAAGAGCAAATATGTTCTGCTATGAGTACTTATTACTTACAGCTTGAGTGCAATAGCCAATATTCAGTATATTTCCTATATCAATGATTGCATTTCCAGGCATTAGTGGTGATAGTGATTACTTTAATGAGTCATGATCACACAGCTGATACCAATGCTGAACACACCTGTCATGAAACATATTCCAGCTATACCGACCTGTATCTAACCATTGTATTTTATTAAGTGTGTCCTGGCCTTCAGATCGAATTTATGTTAATTTGCCCCACCGTGATGACTGATGATAGATTCGATTGCAACAGGCCTAATGCTGCACAGTAATCGTCTACCAATTTTCTTGTGTCTTTGAGTAATTTTGCAATTTGTTAACAAAACTGTATCATCCTTTAGTCAGAACGAGTAGTCGACTTGAGTATGCACTGTATAATATAAAGAAGCTAAATAAATATAAACCTACTTTTGTACTTTCTTATCTGTTCACTACCCAGAACAAGATCAGATCTGAAAACGCTTAAAGTCATTCCGATCCAGCCAGCTGCACCAGAGCAGTAAATTGACCATTTCATGGCGTTGTTTTGATTTAGAGGCGTATTACGAAGAACCGCGAGGGTATTGAAATAGACAGTAAAGGGTTTCTTAGTATTGCTGGGGTCCTTTCTTGTATCCCTATCAATTATTATGATCCGTTGTATTGTCAAGATTTTGAATCAAGATTATGATCAAAAGGATATAATCTGTTGTGTAAGTGGGCTCATCCTTACCGAGTGTGGATAATTGTGGTAGTAATGATTGATTGATTGAGGAGCACTACCCAGAGGCATTACTCTGCACTAACGCCTTAAAATCTTTAATTACAATCAAATATAAATATATGCACACAATGTATAAAATATGAATAATGTATAAAATATGACTACGCTATTAGCAAATTTAAATATTACTATTAAGAATTTATGAATAACTCTTATCTCTTGACATACGGGTGTAGCTTGTCACGTTCAGTGGCTGTGCTCTACTTCTACTACTTGGATTCTTTAAGCGTTCACGATTGGTTGATGTGTTATACTTATGTGTCGCCTTGAATTCTTATTTTAGTGTATTGTGTTCTTAATACTTTAATACAAAAGGGAATTTGGTGAAGTTAGCAAAAGCACCAAATGTCGTACCAATTAAATATCATTCCTTCAAACTATTCGTCCTGTTAATTTGCTTAACAGTCGAGTTGAAACTGCTAGAATAAGAAAGTAAGAAACAATTAGCATTCAACACAATTACTTAGCTGTCACGTGATTTAATGTGCTGTTTAAGCTGTCTAACAGAGAGCTATCTGGATTAAAGTCTAAGTGGTGGAAGATTGTCTACTTCAATTCGTCTATTTCTAACTTCAGACCTCACTGGAGTACAGTAGTAAACCCAGTAATTCTGTTGTAGAAAGTTGTAGAAGTTTCCCGGCTTTTCCTACTTAAACAATTACATGCCAGTTTAAAGGCAGTTACAGGTCCAATAGCGAGTTAAAGAGTAAAAGCTAGCCGACTCTTGGAACTAGGGTGGGAGTATTTTATAACACCAGGTTGACTAGTAGAAGTAAAGTAGTAGAAGTGGAATATAATCAGACTCTCTAATATCTATTAAGTGATATTTAATTGTCTTTATTTCTTATGGCGTTCAATAATTGGTAGGGTTGCTCTCGCTGAACTAGTCTCAGAATGTTAGTACGTGGTCAAAACTCTTCCCACCGCAATTCCGTCTCTGAAACCCACCACACTTCCACCATAACTGGAGGTCGCCGTCATGGAGTTGTGAGCATGAGACGAATATCTGTGGTAAATCGGAACTCTGTGATAATGGCGGGCAGTATGAGACGACACTTTGAGGTCTCAACGCGAAGAGGCGGTGTCATAGAGCCCCTATCTGCCCCCGACCTAAACGTGCGTCTTGTTTTTCTTGTGACTGTTTATTTGTTAGTTAAACACGATAGTTAGTAGCAGTGACTGAGAGTATAATGCTTGTTTGAAGATAACTTATCTTAGTTACTTCCAACTTAAAGTTGTAAAACTGATGGTGCTCCGCGGTTAGTGATGTACTGAAGTCCCAACTGTTGACTGACTGTGAACAGGGCTAACGCAAATGTTTCAGATGTTGTTCAACAGCAAGAAAGTAAACAGTGGACTCGGCTATTCTATTATCATCCTGGTCGCAAACATCATCTTCATTCTTATTGGCACATTTGTTTTTGTTCACATTGAGGGGACGGTATGGTTTAATTTTTTGCTTATTTGTAGTTTTTATGTTTTTTAAATAATATTTTAAAATGTTGACGTTTTCAGATTTTAGACAAAAGTTTCTGTTCTTTCTTCGGAGCTTTGTTATTGTTTAATCAAGGGTTTGGCGACGGCTGACCTTACTTCAATTGAATTTTGCGGTTATTAACATTGTTAAAAACGGAATATAAAGACTTATTATTACGAATAACGAGGAAAACCAATTCTAAAATAATTTTCTTTCCTAGGCTGAAAGGATAGAGCACGAGGAAGACTACGAGAAAAAGCTTCATCTCATTGAGCACATTAGCAATTCAGAAAAAGTTCTTCCTTCGGTAAGTTAATAAAATATTTGCTACTCCGTAGCTATCAGTGTTCTTCACGCACAGCTGTAAGTTTGTTATCTGTATTCTTCACGACTCATCATGCTGCATATGTAGCCATCATGACATTGTTGTCTATATTCTGAACAAGATCGTCATAGTTCATATTATAAAGGGTCATTGTATTATTACATATATCACCTGTTATCAGCAGTTCTTTCAATGAAAATATCATTTAGGGGGATCTCTTTCTCCTATTCTTTATCTGTTGTCTTTCAGAATAAAACCAAGCATGAATATGTTCATGAATTCTATGAAAAAGTAAGTGTGCGCCAAGGTTCAAGCTCTTAGAAATGCAAAGTGCTATCATTTAAGGTTAATTCTAATTACTAAAGTTTCTGCTATATTTTTCATGTCAAAAACCCGCACCTCTGACTTTCATAAGACTATGGACTGATACTTCAGAGTTTAGATATACGTCAACAATAAAATACAACGAGAAGGGATATGTTTATCATATGACAACCGTATTTATTATTTCTTTTCAATCCATGACAGAAACCTCAATTCGCCTCCTTTCCAGTTACTGTCGTTACAAATGGAAATGTGCGAGAAAGGAAACTCTAGAGCGGGAGAAAAGAGCTGGGAGTATACTGGTTCTCTTCACTATTGTCTTACCATTCTCTCTACTATCGGTAGGAAGGCTGGAGTTATTTTAACATATCTTTGTAATTGTAGAAAGCCTAAAGAAATTTAAAACCTAGAGAAATATATCTTTGTAGGAATTCCAGAGATGCTTTAAAATAGTATACTTTTAGGAAGTCTAAAGCTTGAGGTTTATTTTTGGAGCTCCTCTTTCTTAGAGGACTTGTTTCTTTCCACGCCATCTAATTATCAACATAATATACTTTATTCTTATTTTTTAGTTCCTGATAGGGATGGAAACTTTAACTAATTTTTGCAATATCGTATTATTCAATATCTCTGAAAATGGTTTCCTCTGTCTGTAGGGTACGGAGTAACCTCGCCTCATGGCTACCTCTCTAAAGCTGTATCAGTAGTGTATGCTATGTTGGGTATTCCTATTTACGCAGTCTACCTCAGCTACGCTTACTTGGCTATTTCTAATGTTTTGGATGCGTTTTGTAACCTTGTATTTACTTGTCTCAGGTAAGTTTTAATCTCTTTCTCGGTCTGGTAAAAAATAAAAAATATCGTTATTACATTGACAAACTTACGTTGAAACATATTATTATACAAATTATTATTTGACAAATTTCATTCGTAAAATCTATTGCGATATTAGTAGGCCCCGTTTAATTTAATTTATTTCTAAGTCTAACTGTCGAAAGCTGTTTTTAAAGTTTTGGATTTGTCACATGCAGTGTAGTAAGTTGTAGCTGATACTCTGCGTTTCAGAAAGAACCCAGGAGATGTGGTTAGATTGTTCACCAAGCTGTTCCTAGCTAACCTAATTCTCTGGTCTTACCTCCTTATCCTTATATTTCTGTGGACACCTATACAGGTACAAATAAAATAGACTATTGCCAGACTACAGTCACGACTGAGTCATTGCATTATTTAATTTGGAATTTCGGTTTACCACGCTTTTATGTTGATTTGAGACTACGTAAATTCGATATAGTCTACAAACCGCATGTTTTCATTCAAAACTGAAAATTTCAGTTTCAGCAAATATTTTATTTTATTTTAATAACAGCCGCCAAAAAATCCAAAATGCTTGCAAATTATGCCCTTCCAGAAGAAGCCCCACAAGCATCCCAAAATTCATCGGGGAGATGATAGCGAGGTAGAAAATTGTTACTAAAAATAGCATTGTCTAAGCGCACGTTTTATCCAAAAAAACAGCATTATCGAAGCGCAAGTTTTCACCAAAAAAGCATTGTTGCAAGTTTAAATAGTGTTTGCCTAAAAATAGCATCTCAACTGCAAGTTATCATTAATCATTAAAAAATATCCCATTCTCCAGGTTAACCGATCTTCCGGCTATGCATGAAATGGTTCACACCCTTACATATTCAACATTTCTTGCTTTCTATGCATTCTGCATAAATACATACAGGGTGGGCCAAAAGTCAGTGGGCATACGTTGGCCTTAATAGCTCAGTCACTGATTGGCGATTGCTCAATTGAAATAATTCTTTCTGGTATGACTTACTACCACCACTGGTTCGAGGAATTTGTCAAATCGAAAAATATTCGATTTCATTTTTTTCAAATGAAGGTTCATTTTTGCATTTATTTGATAGTTTGGATAGTCAGATCGAACTAAATTTTATTGAATTGTGTTTGGCCATTCGAATTACGTTTGTCCTAAAAAATTAGAACTGTAGCTTCTCAGATGACCGAGATATGAAGCATAACGAGTCATAACGAGTTTATTCATTACGTGTGATCAGGTGATTGGTTCACCTAATCACTTGATTAGGTGACCCCGTTAAACATTATGGGAATTGTTAAGGGTGCCCATTGCCCAATTAAGGTGTCGTGTCACGGTGTCACATAATCATCCAGTCAATTCTGTTAACGAGATACAGAAAATGCTTGATAACTTCGTCATTTCTAATCTGTTTTTGAAACAATTAGGCGTTCAGCATGTTCAGAGAAAACAGTATAGGTGTTTTAATATTGAATGGGCGTGGTCTAAAATATTCGAATTTTCAAATTTTGACGACGGAATCCTCGAGCCAGTAAGTACCATCTGCAAAGCAACTGCTCTCAAATATAAAACATGGTGGAGCTATTAGTATTAAGGCCAACGTATGCCCACTGACGTTTGGCCCACCCTGTATATTCCTGCATATAATTATATATTCTCGCATAAATTCTGCATAAATTCTGCATAAATTCTGCCTAAATTCTGCCTAAATTCTGCATAAATTCTGCATCTGTTGTATTCTTAGTTGCACTCTAAGCATTTCTTTCAGAGAACTCACAAACTTTATCCGAATTCCAGCAGCTTAGTTGTTCTGTGGCCGGCTAAAATCCATGTTCGCGCCAAATATTGCGTATTATATAATTGTGGGTAAAAGTGTATCATGTCAATTGAATGTCAATTGAATGTCCATTGAAGTTAAATTGAATGTCAATTGAAATTTGAATGGTAATTTTTTTGATTGTATGTTAATATTTAAACTTTTATCTGAATACAGAGCGAAAATAAGCTTCATAAGCCTATTCATTTATAGTGTCTATCTTGTACGCGAATTCTCTTGTCTAAGATTAACACTATGTAAACACTATAAGTATATAATTATAAACCTGTGTTAATCGTCTTATCCCTACTTGTTCCACTTGTTATTTTACTGGTCCTGACCAAATCCCTTGTCTCATTTCAGCAGCAGAAGTCAATAGTAGACGAGATCTACTGGCAGGTGATAAGGTTCACATCAGTTGGTTTCGGGGACGAATTCCGGGATGTAAGCGAGCAGCCTTCCCACATTCCCAGTGTTGTTAACGTGCTTTGTGTCGGGTTCTTCCTCCTCCCTTTCGGTATTTCTGTGACTTCTTTCTTCTTCCAAATGTACCGTAAAGTGTTTGGTAAACCGAGAAAATGGTTTGATATCAAGTGTAGGAAAATTCAGAGAAAGACTATGACTAAAGTAAAAACACTAAGGCCGATTAATGGAGTGATAAAAGTAAAGGAATCTCAAAACACACGCTCGTCAAACGTCTGCAGAGATACTAATCTTATTTCTATAACTGAAGCTAGTGCAGATGCTGTGTCATAATGCTAACAAACCACCGTCAAACATCTACAGAGATGCTCATCTAATTCCTTTCGCTCAGACGAGTGATTAGTAGGGAGCCGCCTAACCGCGCGTTACCGTAAGTTACCGCGCCGCGCATGAGAGCTACGAGCTCGGGAACTGATTAACATGTCAATTAACGTTATTAAATCAATCCACTGTCAAACTCTTCTCATACAGACACTGAGATTAGTGCGGGTAAGGGTTGTTCAGTCCTCGGTGATCACAATGAAATGTTACAAACGTTAAGTGCGGTGATCGCCTTGCGATTACAGTGACAACGGATTGACAGACAATAGTCGAAAATACTTGCTTTGGTTAGTTGGTGATATAGCCGGGTTGAAGGTTATCTTTTATATAGGCGTGTCATGCCATCGTGTGAAATATTTCTATTTTTAGTCATCATTTTTAGAGGGAGGTTTCTGCATACAATATAGTAATAAACAAAGAAACTAGTTATGAAAGAGTTATGAACAATGATTTTGTTTTGAATAATGATTTTGTTTCCCGGATTTACTATAATTTCCAAGCTCCCTAGCCTCCTACATAGATATTTATTGTAAATTATATTGCTCTTTACTTTGTTTAAAGTTTCGAGGTTTATATTATTACTAAACGATGATCATTGTGACTTTTAAAGATTTCTAATATGTTATGTAAATGGTTCCTTCGTCACATTACTAATTTGTTTCTTTTCACTAGAATTTGGAATCGTTAAAACCTTATCATTTTGTCGTATTTTGTTGGTTTATTGTTATGTGAAGCATTGTTAAATCCTGGTGATTCTTTACATTTTTCATGTAATAAACGGTATATACTTTAATTCATTTATAAACAACATGCCCGGCAAAAGATCTTTTAAATTTTTCATTGTCGGTTCCTAAAATGTTTGCTAAAGCCTAAATTATAAGACTAATGTTAATAAGATGTGGAAGGAAATAAAAGTGAAATTTGCACCCGAGAGCCACCTTGAGACCCAAATGTGCAGCCATTAGGCCACCCTAAACGAATTGCAACAGTACCGGGTAGCCTGATGTTCTACTTTTTTACTTTCTATTCAACTTAACGATTATCAAGTGTCAATTTGAGGTATTTGCAAATGTTGTGATACATCTACTTAAAAGAGATGTCGTCTCAGCTAGGCATGTTGGGCTTAAGGTAAGGATCACATCTGGGGTAACATATTATGGGCCTTAGATATGGTTGAACTAAGTTTGTACCTACACTCATGCACAAGACGTGGACCAGCAGTCTTTCTTCCTGCGACTGACTTTAATTTCTTTAACTTAGAGATGTTCACATTTTTCCTTCATAATTAATAACTACGCTGACCCGATTGGGCGACTCTGGTCCGACTCATGTCAGTCATGTGTTACCCACGGACCCATTCTGGATACCATGTATCCTAGGGATAATGCTGTCACTAAAGTTGTAGATTTGCGTTAGAAGCACCTCCTCTGCCTCAAGCATAACACAATTCACTTTCGATACATTTTCCACAGCATTACAAAAAATATTATTAAGGACTGGGTGCAAAAATCCTGGGACTCTGCCTCCAGATAAAACCACAGGCTTGTTTATATAGTGCAAGTGAAATAAAAATTAAATTAAATTAAAAAAATTAAATTAAATAAAAATAATTGCACACGAATCAGGTTATCACGATAGCATCATATGAACGAAATGTTAGGATGTTATTTCGTTCCAACTGATAGTGCTAAGCATTAAATCTTTAAATGCTCCTCAAGCAGACACGAGACTCTCAACCAGTCGACCTAACCTGATTATCTGATGGTATCGTATTAGGTTGCAGTCGTAATATGGCCTGGGTGAATATGCTGTTTTAATATTTAGGCTGATTGGGTACCCACTACCCAATTAAGCTGATTGGGTGCCCTGTTAACTGTGTGAGAACTGGGTCCCATTGGGAGAAGTTGTTGTCACCCATTACAAAACTCCCCTCAAAATAGGTAAAGGTAGACCACGTTGTACACGTTGGCCACGTTATAAAAGCGGAATATTGTATCCCATCTGGTGACTGAGGCACCTTTCCATCTGGTCTTTGATTGAAATGTTAAAAATCTTATCGTTCGTTCTTATATCTTTTCCGTGTGTTTTTTCGATTCTATGCCTATTTATGAAACCAGAAAGTTACGAGAAATGGTTGCAATGATCAAATTTCTGTTACAATTTGGATGTGAAATATTGCTCGCTCAAGCGGTGAAACAAGGACCGCATTATTAGGAACACCTGAAAAACAATTAGATGTATCATTTATTTTATTTCTGCGAGCTGTTTAATGAAATTATTTCAAATTTTTTTCTACTATTTTTTGCAACACTGCAAGCATTAGTCTCTTTTTACCGTGATCTTGAAATTTAATGCCGACGGGCGGAAATGTGAAGTTGGGAGTTTTAGCCGAAACACATGCGACGAAGCCAATGTTCATGAGTTTGTCCTAAAGTTTTTTCAAAAGGTCATCACCATTTAAATCATCAAAATGTGCATTTAGTTAAGCCGCAAATATTTGTTTACTGCCCACTGTTATAAATATAAGTATCGAACCTCAATTTAATTTTTCCTCACCCTCATTCATTAAGATTAATTGCCACCACGGTCTACTTACGTACCGATGACAATTAACTGATTTGAGTTTGACCTACCTGTTTCGTAATTGGTGGTAATACTTTCAACTTTGTGTCCCCTAGAGATAGGTACCCTCATAGGTTTTATAGCATTCCGGCTGTGTGGTAAGTGTATACCGGGTCTTACACTCATCCCAAAAGGGATTGGAAATAATACGATTATATATACGGCCCTGCCCTGGACACTGGACAGTAGACAAGAAAGGTCACTGTGTTACGTTCTAGTTTGTTGGGTGTATCATTTCCAATTTGTCGGGCCGCTCCTTCGTGGTGCGAATTTTGTTTTAAGAGTAATCAATTTCACGAGATTTGATAACTGAATCTGATTTTCTTTATTGACCGTTAATTTGGATCCGTCGTGTTGGTATTTTTTATCAACATACCTATTGATGTAGCCGTATACCCCATTTAATCGGTCTTTGTCTCGTACTTAGGTCGAATTGATTTAATCAAACAATGGAATGAAATACCTTCGGCCCCTAAATCAATGATCGACTTCTTGACTCACAGCCAACACTTCATACTTCATAGTACTCGTAACCGTGTGTAAACAACTTCCGCTCTGTTTTACATCAGCAAGCTGCTGAACGCCTCCAGAAGTTCATTTCAAACTATCTTTTAAACGCCTGCATGCCAACTTAACACTGCGGTCTGGGCGATCTTGCCCCGATTGCTTGACGATTGCGACCAGCAGCCCTTACCCCAAACATTCACCACCTTTACTTTTATCAGAGGGTTTGTGTAGTCATGTATCGTGTTTTATCGTTGCTGCTGATTGTGGTACTAGGAGCTATTGTCCAGGCTCAGGATGAGGAACCAGCCTGTGAGAGCGGAGCTGATATCAGTGAGTTTACTAATTTGTAATTGTTAACTAATTGTTAACTAATTTTGAGTTTACTAATTGTTCATTTTTAGTGACTGCTTCTCTACAAGTACATTTTAACTTTATGTAATTGTAAAGGCCACTGAAAAAGTTTGGCGGCAGAATTAGAAAATAAACGAAACTGGGACTCTGGCATAATTAACTTAAACTAGCATGGGGCTCCAAGAGGTTGTAAATAAAAGGTGTGAATTCAGGACAGTGAATGATGCCAAAAACGCCGACTTTGATTTTAACCAATAATTTAAAAGTTTACCCTTCTCAGTTCGGTTTTGAATTTAGCCTCACGTACAACTACAATCAAATGAAAACAGTTCACCAAATTTTTTAAACGTACTATTAAGTTATATTTATAAAAGTAATATTTTAAATAGAAATTTTGTCTGGTCTTAATACAGCAAAAAGTAATTTATAATGGTAAATAATTTTTGATTATATTCTCTTAATGGTCCTCTCATCTCCATCAATCCTTTAGAAACTTGCGACAGACCATTCCACGTAAAAGTTAGACCTTGTTAGTTCTTGACTTTTGTCAACTCTATTAAAACTTTACAGCCTAATGATATTCACGGATCTAACTCCCCAGGGTGCAGGTTTGTATGCAGTAACCGTGGAGACAAGTGTCTGTGTGGTACTGACGGAATGTCCTACAGGAACACGTGTGAGATGAGATGTAATGCTCAGCGTTACAAGAGGAAGATCTTCAAGGATCACAACGGTCCTTGCATGGAAGGTACGGAGGTTTTCAGTGTTTTGCCATTTTACCAACCATGCATAATCTTGTATTTAAATCCAAACTTCCCCCAAAATCTGCTTTTAACATTATACTTATAGCCATAGTGTTAATTGTTTCTCTGGCACTTAACAAGACTCATAAACTTAGATTCGGAGGACAAAAAGAATGTTGATCTTATCTCCACATTTTTAGCGATCGTTTAATTTGAGCTTTCAAAACCTTCGCAATTTTGACTTGAATCGTACATTTTTCTGATATCATTATCCGGTAATTCTGTAATTGAATCAGCATCTCACTGATACGGATATGCAATTTCGTGCGTTGTTTCTTGGAAGGCGAAGTTTTTCTAAAAACACATACTCGATCAGATTGCACTGCGGAAGATTTTGACGGATTCAAGTACAGATTTGTTGAATGGTTTGACATGATTGAGAAAGAGGACTCACCCTCCGATTATAAAAGGTTAGTGATTCTTAAAAATACCAATACATTCTTGAATTTTAAGATGATGAACAGAAAATTAAACAGTTTGGACCACTATGGTCTGCAAAACACAATTAACTTTTTTTGTATCTAGAATCTTTGATCAAAACCTTTTTTGTCTCAGTTTGATTTAAATTTAAGTGTCATTGTTTCACTTCTGCAGAGTTGCAGATTTGGACCACCAAGGTGTGCTCATGGTCATGTTCCGGTCTTTGGACACAACTGACGATATGGTACGTGGATTGTTATTTGTTATGAAAATTTGGCGAATATACGGGAACAGAGGTGCTGTACAGTAGAATTTGGTTAATATTTTATCAGGAGTAGGTCATTGGTGAATGGTGACTAACAGGGTGCTAATTATTGTTTGTGGATAATATAATATTCATTGTCATTCTATTAGAACTTACCATAAATATTGCGCTTTGGAATGCGAGATAAAATGTTAGATCTTATCTTTACCCAAATTCCTTCCAACACCTGACCTGGTTGCAGATACGGTTCATATAATCAAATCAGCCATTTTAGTCATTTCAGACCTTGTCCCCCTCTGTAAGGGTTATAATATATAGCTATTGTGTAAAATTTACATTTTACAATGCTTTTCCAAACCCTTTCCACCTTAGGCTGTCTAACGCAATTTCTGAACGATCCCTACTATGGGGATGTATCAGAATGTTAACAATTCTCACATATCAGGTACTGGAATGGGGAGAGCTGAAGAAGGTAGCTGAGAACCCGTACGAGCACTGTGTTTCTGAGTTCTACAGACTTTGTGACACCGACAAGAACCAGCTCCTCTCCATCGGCGAGTGGGGAGAATGCTTCGAGATCCACATCAGTGAGTCTACTTCGCGTAATCTAGTTTACATTTGGAAAACTAGATGAGTCTACTTAATTCGTGTAATCTAGTTTACATTTGGAAAAATAGATGAGTCTACTTAATTCGTGTAATCTAGTTTACATTTGGAAAACTAGATGAGTCTACTTAATTCGTGTAATCTAGTTTACATTTGGAAAACTAGATGAGTCTACTTCGCGTAATCTAGTTTACATTTGGAAATCATGACCTCACAATTGTCGTGAAAACTGATCAAATAGTTACAAGTGACACCATACTGATTAAGTTATCGCAGTTCTAGACAGGGTGATATTATACATTGCTATGGCTCCTGCAGAATTTTCCATTGTGTCAAATTGAAATGATGTAAATATAATTGAATTTCCGACGGGTTTTTGATCCGAACCGTTATAAACGAGATGAAATCAAATCAAACATTTCAGGGTTGATGCCTTGTGACAGACTTCGTGCAAAAGCCGCCAAGGCTAGAGGAAAAGGTATGTCGTTTAACTCCAGTTTAGACTAGACAAACATAATTTGAGTACTATTTTGTTTACAAACAGCAATGTTTGTTGATTTATCAGGAGAGGTATGCTGCAGAATATAAAAGTCACAGTTTTGTCCTGATAATTAAGCGTACACTGCGTCGTTAAATCATCAATTATTCAATCAACTCCGTCCTTGAAAATGTATCTACCGAACTCCAAAGATTCAATTGTCCCAACTCAAAAATATCTAATTCAATACTCCTGAATATCTAACGGGCACGTAAGTTCGCCGGTATTCTAGTCTTTATACATAATATGAACATGATATGAACCTAATATAAACCTCTCAGGAGCAAGCAACTACCACCCATCCTGCTCAAAGGAAGGCTACTGTCTTCCTGTTCAGTGCCGCGAGCAGTTCTGCTGGTGCACATCTCCCGCCTGTAAAACAGAGAAACGCTCCCTCGGGCGTAAATCTGACGACTTCACGTGTGATAACTACTAGGTGTGGCAGAGGAATTGTTAGGTTGGTGATATGCTCCGCTGGGAGAGAGCGTTATCTGGAGCTGTCCTTTTATAATCAGTCGTACTGACTTATTCGTGCGACTTGATAACACTCTTAGTCTTTGAATGACTCTTAGTCTTTGAATTACATTTGTTTTACTTATTCCGTTGTCTATTTTGATGTTTGGTCCACTCAAAGCACAAGCAAACCCCTAGCCGTATCGTCTAGTAACGCAGTAATATCGTCGTGAAAAATGCCATCAAACTTGACACTGCCTCGCTGCGGTGGGTACTCTGAAAAGTAAACACCTCTAGGTTTACACTCCTCCTTGTTAGGCCTGATAGAGAAGGAGCTTGTTGATTTAGAGACTTGACTGGTGGTCCGATTCTCTATCCTGGATATGCAACCTCCGTATCCACATAAGTCGGCAATACAGCTGAAATTTGACCGGTGCATGCTAACTTCATTGGAGATCTCGCTGCCTCTGTGATATGTCACACTTTGGTTTCTCGTTCCTGAACATGACCTAGACCTTTTTCTTGTGGTTGCCGTGGCCATCACGGTGTCTGATGAGTCTGTTTCTGTTGAGGTTGGAGGACTTTCATTGGTCTGTTCCTCAAGGGAGATAGCCATTAATGATATATGTGAGTTTAGCGTTGAGACAGAGCTTTTTCTGGAGTGTGTTAGGTCGGTTGTGGGTGTGTCCACCGTGTCCAACGTGTCCACTGCTTCACTCACCATCTTGTTGCTTGATAGTCTGTCTTGTGATGTTAGCTGACGGTGATGAAGCGTTGGTGACAGTTGTTTCAGCTGATCTGTGACTACTGAGATATCGTCACACAAAGATTCCAGACAGGAGTTTATTGTACTGTCCCTCATAGGCCTTAATTCTGTGTCTATCTTCTTCATTTCCGCATTTCGAGCAATGTGAGAGTTGGTTTTGGCCCTGCTCCCTAGATCAGTTAAAAGACCATTGATTTTCTCCAGAGTTTCCTTCATCTCATCTACCACTGTCTTTGGTTTGTCTCTTGGCTTCACATTTTCCCAGCCCAAATCCAGGGTACTGTTTTGATCGATGTGCCTTAGTTTCTGCGGTTGATGAAACTTGGGTGCGTAGGTACGTGGTTCCATAAATTTGTGTGTTCCCCAGGGAGCGGTCATCGGTGCTTTGTTGCTGATCATACCCAAAAATGTATCCTACAAATGATATTATTATATTGTTCTGTTTGCTATATCATTTATAGGTTTATTAATAGATTTTAAAATATTTTGGGTTCAAGTAAAATATGGTTATAAATTTTGGTTTAGTTTAAATATTTAAACCAGCCTAATTTCATTCTAAGTAAGATTTCAACCGAGTTTTAAATAATTTCAAAGCTTAAATGTAAGCAAACTGCAAGCAAACTATAACTCTACTATAAAATAGTCTACAAGTTTGGAGCATACAGTAACTAGACGAAAAAAGTCTTCTCTTTATTGACTTATGACTTATGAGCAAGAAGTTTTGCTGATTTAATATGTAAATAATGTTTCGATTTTAGAAATACAAAATACAAAAATTAAACATTTCAACGCTGTTTTACGAATGCTTGAGTAAGGACTGATGAACAAATATTCTGTCAACAAATTTAGCAAAGATATGATCATAGATATGATCAAATTGCTATAAAAAGAAATTATGATATTAGACCGAAAAGTTTGATCTAATTGAATGGGTATTAAAGATTTAAGATAGATTATAACTACTTGAGTGCTGGAGACTTCTGAACTAGTACACTGTATCATTAAGAATAATGTGTGCTCTGTACGGTACAAATTACCTCATTTTAATCTAAAAACAGAGTCATACGTTTTACTACAAAATATTTATGATCTACTGCAGCTGTCATCGATAGCAGAGCTACAAATGACGAAAATGAACTGGTTATGACTGTTGGAATTACTAGCAATAATAGCTGTTTATTAAAAATACAAAATAACCGCAGACCGCTTAACCACGTTGATTTCCTGTGTCGGTCATGTGAATGATATTTCAGCTTACTAAGCCAAAGCGAGATAAATTCAAATGTCTTAGTTTTTTTAAACACTTCACTTTCAGTGGTGAAAGTGGAGATGATAACCCTTCCAAGTTCCAATTCTAGACAATAACCCAAGCTACTATGCTACTGCCTACGTGCTATGTTACTGTTAGTATGTTGTAATAAATTACGACTACCTTATTGGACCTTATTTGGACGGACATTACTTGAACGCTGGAGGCCCTAGCGTTCATCTTAATGTCAGTTCAAATAAAGTCCGTTCAATTAATGTCCGTCCAAGTTAAAGTCCGTTGAAATTTTTTCAAAAATTTTTCCATTTCGAACTCTTTACCCAGAATATGACAACTATGAGAACTTTATTGTGCCGTAAGTTAACGACGGAAAGGTTCTCCTTGGTCTGCCCGAGGCACAGAAAACTTTACTAGTATATGACAACATAGTTCATGCGCTAGTCCCCGCCAACATGACAAACTTGTTCCAGCCTCTAGATATTACGGTAAATTGTGTTGCCAAGGACATTGTCCGACGTTGTTATAGTTCATATTACTGAGGGGAGGTAATGAAACAGTGCTAGGAAAGCTCCACGTGATGTTAAGGTTAACCTAACGTTGTCTAAGATCAAACCACTTCACGCCGAATGGCTTGTAAAAGTTAACACTGAAATGCAGGACCGGGGTAGTTTGATAAAAAAGGTTTCCACAAAGCTAGAAATCACTGATGCTTGTTTAAGCATGGACTATTTCATGCACGAAAATCCATTTAATGAATATGATATGTGATATTAGACACTGATAGTGTACACATATTTTAACATTTTTACTGCTTAATGACTGCTTTCTTACTTACTGTATAAAAATGGATTAAAAAATCATTTGCTGAAATTAAAAAACGTCAAAAATTGAAAAAAATTCAGATTTTTGATGGTTTTGAATGCCTTCGAGCGTTCATATTAATGTCCGTTCACAATTATGTCCGTTCATGTAATGTCCGTTTAAATAAGGTCCGATAAGGTAATCACAATGTCACAGGACACGTTCTCTACACTTTAGATCAAGATGTTCAGCCGCCAGGTTTTGACGGACAGTTCAAATGCCTAACTATTAAGTTTAACCATAATCCAATCTCTAACTCAAAAATATGTTCAATCAATTTACCATAACCGGAACCCTAAAGAGAAATTTTGCCCACTTCCTTATGTGGATCACGCGATCGCAAAATAGTTCTTCGCCGATAACTCTCGAGGGAAACATTTAACCCTATGTCATGCGGGTTATCTGAGGATCTCAGGCTTTTCTGTTGATAAACAGATAGGAGATGCAGCGGAATGACAAGCTGAGCACCGCCCAGTGACTGTAATTGTGTAAACATGCGGGGTGATTCGAAATCAGCGTTCAAAGGTTCATCTATTTAAGTTGGTTTTAACTGCCGGGGACTCCTTTAGAAAAATGTTACTAGTCTATGGCTCGCTTATCTCATGATTCTCTGGGATATTTATAAATATTTATCCAGACATTGTGGCCTCACAAGTCGGTGGGGGCCACTACGTGTCAAAGATGGAAATAGGGTTTTAGTTTTTGGAATATTTAGCTCACAAATGACAAATAAAGCATATAATATTAATATTCGTCCCAACATAAAGTGGGGCTAACTCCCCTATGAAAATCTCATTGAATTTCTGATTTTATTTTTTGTGCTTTCTCGGAGATTATAGCGGGGAAAAAAGCGGATCCTTACACTTCGTGACCTTGACGTCCCCCCTTTGAGCACATAGTTAATGAGTCAGCAATTGGAAAATTTTACATAACATTTTAATCAAATTGCCACAGGATGTTTCCGAACTTCCAGTCATTATCTTTAGTGGGTTATTTGATTTTTGTAGATAGATAGAATTAATCGCAAATTTATCTTACCATATTATATTTAGTTTTATTTTCCCCAGCTTCTTGTTAGGAAGAAGCTGCAATACCAGAATAAGGGCCGTATGACTATGACCGACCAGAAGAGGTGCTGGTAGAAGAATACTACACACAAAGACGTCGGAACAGACCAAGTCCAACCACGGAGCCGAGAACAGTTAGACATATGTTCAATGCTTGGTATGCAACGTTGGGACATGAATAATGTTGTGGACTCAGAGGTCCACGAAGAGGGAGTGAGATATAGGTTTGATGATAGCGTTATCGAACGTGTTAGAGACGACGTGATCCCAGAGCTGTGTCACTTGACTTCAGATAACATCATCATCTACAACGCCTTCCTGCTGGACCAAAACTGCCAGGAAATATTTGAGAGTGTCAGCCGCCAGTACGTCTGATTCAAATGTGATCCCGCTCACTACTTTTAAAACACAGAGCCCAGATATTCACAGAATTCTTCAACGCCACCGATTACAAGGAGGGCATGGTAATCATCCACAGGGATTATTAAATACTCTTCAAATTTTACAGAGTACAGCAATAAATGAATATAAATTCAAAACATTTTAATTTAATGTCAAAGATGACAGAAGTAAAAAATAGTTATGTGGCGGATTTTAAGAAATTTGCGCAAAATACGCGCCAGCACTGCTTTGCGAAATTCGGTAAAAAACCCAAAATTGCCATATTCAGGTGCTTTAACATTTAAAAACCATGTCATGTTGAAATTGAGTTAGAAAATTCTCTACAACACGAGCTATAAATTAATGTATGGAATTGTTGTTGCATGAAATTCTCAAGGAAGTAAGTACCAGTTGAGAAACATAATGTTCGGTTTTGTCCAAAAAATTTCTGAGAGAAGGACGTAAGTCCGGACTTATATTACCTGGGGACCTCAGGCTATCAGTATCATGTTCATAAACAATAGAGATTCGGCGGAATGACAGGCTAAGCGCCGCCCAGTAAGTCCGGACTTACTTCTTTTTCTGAGATAAATGATCTGTGATAGGAACAAGGAAGAATTGTAACTGGACTTAATTCCTATCAAAACATACTAAAAACGGAATTTTAGATAGCGAATTTCCAAAAAGAATATAACTTAACTGCCGATCGATATTTTCACATCACACATGAAATTTCAAGGATCGATTTATATTGTATAATTACATTTCAATCTTACGTTAGTGATCAACATTTTCATTTAGGCCTCAACAAAAATTTGGTGCAGTCGATTTCCAAAAAACGCCGGATGTATTTTAGTCACAAAACATAAACATTTAACATATGATCAGTTATTGAGCTGTTAATCGCAGAGAATGTTTAGTTTAGGTATATCTTTTAGATAAAGTTTATTTTCATCAAAATATCGTTAAGTTGTCACTTTGATGACTTAATATAATGCGTCTTAATGCCTGGAAAACAGTAAAGGGGGTATAATTAATAGCAAAGAAGGTATAATATTGTTTGTTTAAGGGCGACAGTCGTGCTTGCCAGCACTGTGATACGAAATGTTTGTTTAGCAAAATGTAGAGGTGAAAGGTATAGTATTTGAGCTATTTGTAGCGTGATGCACTACTTATAGCGGTGACAGTGCTAGTAATCAGTCAAGCACTACAATCAAGTCTAGTGTAGTGACATACTGTATATGTTGTATTGGTTCTACTTCTAGCCCGGAAGTCATTTGGATTGACTGGGAGCAAAGGGGGCTCTATCCGATCGCTCCTACTAGCACTAAATCGCTCGCCCAAATTTTAAGAGAATTCTTGTGAGGCCCTTTGGATAGGAAATTGATTTAAATTGGTGTATTTTTTACGCTGATTCGGGCGATTCCGAATCACCGATCGAACACCCTGACCGGGTATAGGACGCAGCGGCGGAAGTCACTGCGGCGGTGTACAGTCCGGCGGAGGACGGTACAGCGGAGGACGGTACGGCGGTAGTTTTCAAAAAGGTTGGACGGTACGGCGGATCACATGACACCCACTTTACTTTGGACAGTACGGCGGTACTACTTCTACTAGAAACTGTACCTATAAGATAGACCTAGCACTGCTAATATAACAAAATCGATTAGCTTTAAAAAGTTCTATTTTCCTCTTTGTTACTTCGAAATTAATTTTGATTAAAATTAAATTGGATAAAGTTTAACATATACATTGTGATTACTAAAAGCAGTTCTTGTTCCACTTTCTGGTTCGTATCATATCGCGTCCGGTCTGCACAACGGTGGTTAAGCGATTGCATGATGAGCTTGTTACGGTGAGATCTCATATCACTGCGCCGAGATGCAATGGGTAATAACAAGGGCATGAGAACAAGTCACGAGGGATCGCATCCAGGAATCTGATCAACCGTAGCCAAGAAGAGAAGTTGCTCAGTGAAACGTAGATAATGATAGAGGCAAACAGTATATAAAGCGGATCAAACCACAGTGCCGACATAGCTGACTGCGAAGTCCGAGAAACCCTCTCCCAAGTCCACGATCTGGCTGCGACTACGATTACTCAGAACCACAGAATCTACTGCTCCGTTACTGGCTCGCTGTCCCAGACTGCTCGCTTCCTCCTCCCCAGTGAACAAGCGGTGAAGAAGCAAGCTCAGAGACTTCATCACAGCA